CGGGGATTTTCTAGAAAGAAGGATCCCTGGAAAGAATGGGGAAGGTAGCACCAGAATCATAGTTTACATGGTTTGCACTTCAGACATGGGATTTGAGCCAGTATCAAACCAAACAGAACGCAAGGAGGCAGAGGTGGTTCTTTAGAAGAACCATATTCCAAAGACCCTGAAGCGTCCTGGCTTTGGGAAGCCAGTCTAGGGAAGCTCCCACATAGCGGGAGAAGAAAATAAACATGTGGCTGTGGCTCAAAAAGTGGTACCAGAATGGCTCGCCCTAGATGGAACCAAAGCCAACCACCTGCGTAACCCTGGCCCTTAAATTTCGAGCCATATCCATGTAGGCCTCGCTGTTGACTTCGCGCATCCAAATCCCATGCCGAGTCCAAAAGGCTCCATTCCAAGCGTCAAGTGAGCGTGCCGAGTCAAAACCGAGTCGGGTAGATGAAGGCTAGTAACTATTAGTATGAGCCACGTGCTCAAAACCTAAGTAAACAAAGGTTAGTATGGGACAGTTTCCCAACCAGCTGCGGAGATCCGCCTCCAAAAAAATATTGAAGCATGGTTCTGGGATTACGACCATTTTAATACCGGGGTTTGCTTGGGACTCAAGTGTAGAGCCCTGTACCCCAAGCGTCAACACCGTTAATCTCTACCCCTGATGAATGCCTCCCCTTCCCGGGTCAACAAGCTCCAGAATTTGCTGACGTCGCACATGACTACGAACTCATCTCCGGTCCTTTCCGGTGCTCTCTCTCTCTCTCTCTCTCTCTCTCTCTCTCTCTCTTTGGCGGATACGACAGCAATGGCCACATAGCCGTGCTTTGTCTTCGAGGGCTGGGGAGTGCCAAGATCAACAAGGGAGCATGTGAAGCCTTCATTGTTTAATTAATGTAATGAAACAATATGTGGACCTGTTTTTTAGACTTTAGGAGCGCTTCCGGCAGGTGAGTCGTGGGGTGCTCAGCTTACCCAGCCGGTCTCGATATGGATGGCCCCGTTCAAGCCACGCACGAAGGGGCACTCGAAGCCTGGGGTTCCCAAGGCCCCCCTGGAGTTCCCAAGGCCCAACGGGACCCAACTTGGATGATGACAATTCCTTAGGGGTGGTGATTTGAGCCCCCACTTAAAGAAACGGTTATTGAATCCCAGGGTGAACGAGAAGATGGGCGCGCAACTGACACACTTCTTTTGCAGCCTGGTGTTTGAGGCCAAGAAGGCGGAGAACCAGCATAGCTCAGATGAGTATGATGTCTTTTGGCGTGGTGCTCTGTTTATTATCATTATTATTATTATGATTATTATTATTATGATGTTTAAAAAATAATGTGGCTAAGACAGAACCCCTTTTTGTCTTTTCTGTCAGTTGTTTTTGTTTTTTGTTTACTACTGGAAGCTAAAAGGGAGGACAGAGCTCCCGAGAAGTTCGCGCCCGGCGTCTGGATTCGATGGATATCTATATATCCCCTTGCCATTTCGGTCTCTGCAACGGATCGGATTGGCAAATAGCAGAAATAATAACAGACACTTTCAAGTAGATTCCCAGTAAAACTAACAGGAGAAAATCAAGCTTATTCTTAAGCACGTGGAAGCATATATGTATTTTCTAGGTCCTCCAGATTTGAGAGGTTAGAGTAAGTTGGTACCAACGATTTTCTTTCGGTTTTGTCTATTTTAGTAGGGGAACCCAAAAACCCAAAAAGGGTGAGAAAGGGCACTACTGGGGGACCTAGCTTTGTATCCCAAACAATCCGACTGCATGCGAGATATTTACCCACAAGAACACCCTCATGGGTCAGTTATGTTGGTATATATTTCCAACAGCCGGATTGTTTGGGCAAAGACAGGGGCTGTCGGTTCACCAGCGCCTGAACCCGTGTTTTGTCACTTGCACCTATCAGTTGAGTATCTTTGCAATCTAAGCTTGCAGCCCCTCCATGCAGCCTTGTAACCTTTGGGATGAGAATAGCTTCTCCACTGATTCGGCGGAACCACCTTCTTGCTGAAAGACTGCGGGTAGGGTGGTGGCTGGCACGACTGGACTATTTGGCTGTATGTAACTGGTTTGTGGTCGACCTTGTCCAGGGCTCCTTAAAAGATACATTTTGCCCATTTGAAACATGTTGCATTTTGCACCAAAATAAAGTTGGAAACCACCATTTACAAGTTGCAATGTTCAGGTGTATAATACATCCGGATCCCTGTTGTCCTCAAGGAAAAACCTTGTTGCATATTCAGCCAAGTGGCTTACCACTATCAAAACTCCGGTGGATGCCGCAACCATGTATGGGGCTTGGAGCTTTTGGGGATCGATGGGATCGAAAAGCCCACGGAGCTTTTGCCAAGGATTCTTCTTGTTGCGCGTTGCGGGAAGCGACATGTCGCGGGAAGGTGGCTTTGTCACAGTATGTGGCTAGCTACAGGTTGGAAGGGAGGCGTTATATAGGGAGCTGGGGGTTTCAGGCATTGGGTTCTCATCAATCCGATCACGCATCCACTCCAACACAACATGCCCGACGGCCCTCGTCCAAACCGCCAGATATCAGAGCAGAATCAAGAGTTGCGATTCATGCTGATACAAGAGACTAAGGCGCTTACCGTGTCTACTACAATGAGGGCTTGAAGACAGACGACGAGGCTTGTGTCATGCTGGCTTGGGCGTGCTGGAACTCAAGCCCATTTTCAAGGCTTCCCCATTTCGCGGCAAGCTCTTTTGCCCCTGAAACCCACGTACCCTCTCAGGTTTGAAAACGAGGCCGGACAAAGTGCAGCACAAGGTAGGTACCATCTTGGATGGCGAAACTGTTTCTATAGTTCTCCTTATCCCTGCGCTCCATCCCATGGATCAGGACTATTTGGTGGACCACTCCATCATCCATTACTTCATCGGCAAGAATGGCAAGTTTATCGACTTCTTCGGCAAGAACATGACCGCCAAGGCTGTGAGGGGGTTGGGCTTGTACAGACTGTTTCCCTTAATAGCACACCATCTTAGAAACAGCACCTCCAAGAGAAGCACTGGAATATGTTTGTGACCACCGGCTTCATATCCAGAGGATCCAAGTACTGCCGCCGAGCGCATCACAAGATTTGAAGAATCCATCCCTCTCCCAAAGTCTGTGGCTGGATGTGCTTTCCCAGCTATATGTGGATCAAATTTCAACCACCCGGAAATGGACCGCAGGCTTTCGTGCTTTCCATTTACCGATCGGGTTCAACCCATTTTGGGGTTCCCGATTTTTTGACCATTTCGGGGAATTTAAGCTTTGGTTCTTGAGGATGAATGGAGTGAACCCCTGCGGAACACCACACCACCGGTATGGTTTCATTTTGGGGCTACCAACAGTTTTGACCACCACCGCCATCTCATGCCCACCTAAGGGTAGGGGCCTCCCATGCTCCTATCTCGGCACTCCAAAACAACCCTCCCGGCTTTGGTCTGTGTTGAGAGGGGGGTGGGGTGGTTCTTGCGAGGGTGAGGAGAAAGGTGGGGGTTCTGAAAAAGGATAACTCGAAAGCTTCGGTTTCTTGTTGAGGGAAGCCTCATGAGGAGATGGCTGCCAAGATGCGCGGCTACATCCGGCAGGCGCGTTCGGCAGCACTGGGTTGACCTGAGTGACTGGCCATAGCCGAAACTTCTCAGGTCCATTTTGTTTTTTAAATGTGACGGTATCCTTTTGGGGGTCATTTTAAAGGTACACAAGATGGCAACCACCATTTTTGGTCGCCAACGTCTAAAAAGACCTAACCATATATTTGCTTTGTCTGCTCACATGAAGTCAGTTAGGAGTGACCACTGGGCCTTACTTCTTCTTCCTCCAATGTTTCCCTGTCCTCGCCTTCGTGCTCGAGGTGTGAATGCCCAACAATAGTACCATACCACAAGAAAACGATAGGGGCCAACATGATTGAACATATTCTATATATATATATACATGTATACATATATGTACATACATATATGCTCATACATATATATATATATAGATTTAGATATATGTTCAAGATACGATTGCAATGCCGCATGATCATGGGTTTGTTGGTTGCTCCACTCGGTTTTTCAGTTCATGTTCTCCATGTCACCTGTGCGCACTGCACGGATCTCCAGGATCAGGAGAACCTGAAGCTTCGAAAGCAGCGCAGGGGGGTGGAGAGTGCCGAGGAGGACGGGAGACGGGTCCTATATATGAGAGGGGCACCCGCTAAGATACGGGCACCCTAACCCCGCCCCCCCACCACCCCCCCCCCAACCCCCACCCTCTTCACAATTCCTCCCTCCCACTGGTGGACTCTGCCCCCTCCCGGTGGGGACACTTGAGAGGAGTGAGGCTCCGAGCTCTGAACCGTTCCCAGCCGAACCCGGGCGCGCGGAGAAAACGCGTGGGCCGCGATTCGCGGGGGGTGCGCGATTCGCCGGAGTGGGGTTGCTGAAGGTGTTTTTACCAAACCAAAGCTGGTTTTACTCCTTGCTTGCTTGCTTTCTTGCCTTGCTTGGCTGGCTTCATTGGTTGGTGAAAGGTGAAAGTTAATCACTGACTGAATTCGGAACCCCCGCAAGGGATCGGAGGCTGCGGGGATGGGACGTGGGCACGGGTGCTCCTCGTTGTCTTTTTCGCTTCCCCGCTCGTTTGGGCTGTCAAACGGACAGTTGAAGAACAAACGAGCACTGCAGATCCGTTTTTGGGGCTACCTCATTGGAGACAAGCCCAGTTGGATCACTCTTCCAGAAACATACTTTCCCGCGGATTCACGTAGAATTCCCCCAAAGTTTTTTTTTTTTTTTTTTCTGTGGCTCAGGTGATCGTTTTTGTAATTTGGGTCTGTCTCAAAACTGTCCTCTAGAGAGCCCCATATGTTGCAGACCCATTTGGTCTGTCCCTTTGTTGGTGGGCACCTTTTTGTGAGGTTGGTTGAAAGGGAAGCCCAAGCTGACCATTTCGGGGTCCCCTTCTCACTTTGGGGCAGACCCACGTGGTTTTTCCCTCGGATTGGGTTTGCGGCAGGTGTCTGGACTGCCCGTGCCCGAGATCAATGACTGGTTGGACAAGCCCCAGCCCCGGCCGCACACATGTCACCAAAAAGCAGAGAAGCAGAGGAGCGGTCCACTTTCATTGCAATCGTACTGGATGGTTGCAAAATTATGCACCACGAAATGAAACCATGGTTGAAACCCTAACTTTTAGTTTGTACTATGTACGTTGGTCGATCATCATTCCAGGGATTCTTTGGTGGTGCAGGATTTCGTCGATTTACAGCACGCTAATGTCGACCTCGCATGCAGAAGCCCGTCCTATCAGTAAACACCTTTGCCTCCAAAAGCGAGGAATCCACTTGAAAATGAGATACCCCGCGAGCCAAATCAGGCAAGGGTTCTACTTTGATCCGAGGTTCCCAATAACCTGGGTGAATTATAACAACCTCACACGACCCCACCCCAAATGGTTTATGTGGGGAATAGCCCCCCAACCACCTTATTTCAGGTTGGCGAAATATTATAATTCACCCAGAATTTGAGAATACTTTGGTGAGGCACCGGTCCGGCCACTTGCAAGCCTCTTATACGGTCCTCCCCATTGCTCAGCTCTCACAAGAGGCTCAGGAAAAGGACCGTATATTTGCGGGTTGAGCTCCGACAAAGCCGTTCGGCTGTGTCGGAAATATTGGATTTGCACCACCCTATCTATGATTGTGTTGCTGCTTTTTGTCACAGGTACTGTCCTGAAGGTTGATAAAGAGGGGACTCCATTTCAAGTGACTGGTGCTGTCTTTGGGGTGGTGCCCCAATCCCATACAACGCCTTGAAATCAGGTACTAGCCCATTTATGGGATATAAGACAAAGAGTATATTGGGATGTGTATATATATATATATGCGCACACCCCCCCCCCATGAACTACATCCATATAACCATATAACCATATATATATATATATGTCGTGCCATGTGTGTGTGTGTGTGTGCGTGTTTTTTGGTTGTTGCAGGTACCCCTTCTGTGTGGCTTTAAAGGGAAGCCAAAAGGGCATCCACTGCTTTGGGGGAGTCTAATAAAGGACACACCCATATACCAAGAACAATGGGCCAGGTCCTCGAGCCACTCTGACATGCCGGGATGCCATGGCCGGTCTCAGGTTTTTCACGCTGCGGCTTTCAACACAAATGTTGATGTCGCACTACCTGCAGGCGGGTGACGATCCGAAGTCATGTTTGAGCGGTTGAGTCGGAATCGGTCGAGCTTACCAAAACATAGCTGAAATCAGTTCAACCCACCCAGCTGATGAAAGGATCCAAAAAGGAGGTTCTTGAAGCACAAGCGGTTTGAAGACGTATCAAGTTTGAGCGTGTTTCAGCAAGTTAAGCCTGGCGAGTGGCAACTTGTATGCCAAATCACGGCTGGCAGATGTCCCGACAGGATCCAACTAGGTTCTATTCAGGTACTCTGTTCCCGTGTTTCCTAAACACAACAGGTTGCACCTGGATCGGGGCATGTAGTGGTCACCAACATCCACTTCACCCACGTTTCAAACCGCAGGAGTCCAGGAGAGAGTTGTACTCTTTGTTAATTTCGTGGCATAGACACTCCATATGTATACCGTAACTTAACCGAGCCATTTGGAGGCAGTGGCCACATATTGCATACCGTCGCATTGGGCATGTAGTACAGGTTAAGCTCCTGGTGATCGTAGAGAGGCTTGGTTTGTGAGAGACTCAGTTCCAGCAATCTCGTCAGATTTCCTCCGACTGCCCAGAATCCATCGTGGGAGACTCAGAGCATCGCAGGTTTTGCCCCGGTTTAGATATTTGGGTGTTTGGGTGAGCCTATTCTTTTAAGGGTATCCTGTCTGGGTTGGTTTTTCCATATTCAAGGGACGATCCACCCACCCACTGAAGTTGACCAAACCACCCCATGATGGTTGCAGACAAGCTAATATTCTGGGTAACCTGGTCGGTGCTTCTTTTCGGACCCCAAAAGACCCCCTTTGCAGGCAGCAAGGAGCCCTAAGGGGTGTTAAGAAATCCCTGCCCCTCTGAATATACGTCTGGACTGGTTCTTGGGACGAGCAAATGAGCTGAGCAGGCATTGGTTCTCCAGAAACAAGGGATAGGAGGTTTCAATGCACCAGCCAGATGGAGGGGGTGAGCCTTCCCCAAACTGTGCCGGGTGGGGGTTCCCCAAAAAGGGACGGCAGTGTGAAGTGTTTGGCCTTTTGCTTTTTTTGACACATTGGGCTCAACAAAAAGAAGCGACCTGCTCTGATCGACAGAGCACGCTTGGGTAAAGAAATATATCCGCAACAGAGCTTTCAATCTCATCTCAAAAAAGCAATCACATCAAACACAAGGCCTACTCTCTTTTTAACAATCATGGAACTGGACAGAGAGGTTCCCAAAAAGCAAAGTGCATTCCCACACCTTGCTGTCAGCTTCCATGAAATTTGGAGGGAGGGTAGATCCAAAACTGGGCGTCAAGTGCGTTGTTGCCGTCGGGTTTTTCAGGCTATCCTTTTCGATCCAAACCAGACCAAAACTGGGATCGGTGTGTTGTGGTGTGTCTTGGGAAGTCTCACCCACTCACCCACAAACCCACCCACCCACCCACCCACCCACCCACCCACCCACCCACCCACCCACCCACCCACCCACCCACCCACCCACCCACCCACCCACCCACCCACCCACCCACCCACCCACCCACCCACCCACCCACCCACCCACCCACCCACCCACCCACCCACCGCCACCCACCCACCACCCACCCCCCACCCACCCACCCCACCCCACCCCACCCCACCCCACCCACCACCCACCCACCCCCACCCACCCACCCACCCACCCACCCACCCACCCACCCACCCACCCACCCACCCACACTCACCGCTCAGCAGTTTTATGAAAAGCTGCAGCTTGACGCTTCACTTGCTCTCAGGTGGGTGCCCATTTTGACTGGCTGGAGAACCCCTACAGGCGACCGCATCCATTGGGCCAGGGGCTGTCTCGGCTGAGGCTGAGAGCTTCTGAGAGCTGATTGGTTTGTGGCTTTGATAGGAGAGAAGATAGGAGAGTCGAAGAAACGAGGGGCTAGAGAGAAGATAGAAGAGAGAGAAGAGAGAAGATAGAAGAGAGAGAAGAGAGAAGATAGAAGAGAGAGAAGAGAGAGAAGAGAGAGAAGAGAGAGAGAGAGAGAGAGAGAGAGAGAGAGAGAGAGAGACAGAGAGAGAGAGAGAAGAGAGAGAAGAGTGATAGCTGCACAACTTAATACAAAGGAATGAAACTAGCTGATTTCTAACTTGGATTCCTGAAGAGGAACTCAATCATTGTCACTAGGGGTAGAATTAACGAGCTCACAAATGAAGATTCCTAACTTGGATTCCGGAAGATGAACTTAAACATTGTCACTAGGGGTAGAATTGGAAGCCTCGCAGAATGAAGGCAAATTGGCATGGTTTCGTGGTAGATTGTTGGTCCGTTCCACTTAAATTCGGCCCGACAGGGCATGGTCGAACCCCATTTGTTTCGGGACACTCTTTCTCCAATGGAACTGGACAGGAGGGTTTTGGACGACCATCATCAAAAGCCCCCTTGTCATTGTCTATATGTGGGTCAAAATTAAACCACCAGGAAATGGACCGCAGGTTGTAGTTGAAGTTTCCATTTACCGGGGTTCCATTTCGGCTACATATTCTTGACCCACAGCCACATGATTGTTGCAAACTGGGTAATTGGGCCGTTGTGCATTGGGAGCTTGATTGGATTAGACTCTGATGAGCAGGCTTCCTATGTTCCTAGAACCATGGCCGGGCTGCTTCGCTCTTAGCCTTACCATAGTTGTGCCGTTGCCTTGCAACAGCTTTCGTTGGTTAAACCGGCGCGTTGAGGTCCATTTACAAATCGTAATTTGTGTATGGCAGTCAACGTTTTGGGAATTGGAGACACCCAATGCTAGCTTCGCCAAGCATTTCCATGTTGTTTGTCTTCGTTCGGGGTGGAGTTCAGAATTGATGCGGCTGCTTGTCCGAAGCGCGAGTTGTAAAACCACGTCAAGCGTCCCTGTTGAGGAATGCAAGACCAACGGCCCATAGAAAGACTGGCAACATGTCTTGTGTATCTAAGGTACCTCTGGTTTGTTTGTATTCATGAAACCCATTTGATGGACCCGTTTTGAACAATTCACATGGCACCCACAAAACCCCGGAAGACAATGATGGGAGTTGCAGCTGACGCTGGGCAATCCAAACCTGGGTAGATGAGATTCTGAAGAAGCCCACGCGTGCTTGTGAGATCTCATTAGAATTTGCCTGGGCCATGGTGCAACATATTTTGTTGCTGGGACAAAGTTTTGGTTGGTATTAAAAGGAGACCCAAAAGGAAGCCGACTAATCATAGGGAGGCCCTATGGTCGTAAACAAAAATACATATATATATATATATATACTCACCCCCCCCCCCCAGGGCCCACCTTTTGAGGGAAAATCATACAACTCATGAACAGAGAAAGCCCCATCCATACTTGGCCAGAAAGATTGATCAAGGAAGCCCTGCGCAACCTCATGAATGATGGTCTTTCTCGTCCGGTACATGATTTCCCGCTGACCTTGGTTGATGTGGATCCCTCAGTCCTCACAGTTCTTGAGAAGCTCTTCCCATTCTTCAAGGACAAGGCTCAAAACATGCACAGGAACAAATAAATGGAAGTAGAAGATACAAAACCTGCACAGGGACAACACAAATAGCAACATGGAAATCTCAGAGAGAACTTTCCATCTGACCTGGAGATCTCCCTCAGGATTTCCATTGTTTCCATTTTTTGTCCCTGTCAAGGTTTTGGGACTTGTACTTCCATTTTGTTTGTCCCTGTGCGGGTTTTGGAGCACAGGGGTAAACGAACCCCTGTAAAATGGACGGTTTCCCAGTGTTTTTTCACTCCAATGTCTACAACACACTGGCAGGTGCACACTTTCCAAAGTAACAAACATCAAAATCGAATCCGGATTCCGGTTTCGAGTTTGATCTATGCAAGGATGCATCTCTTGAAGGCACTGGTTTTTACAGTGTTTTCTTGAGGCCCAACATTTGTAAGAACTATTTGCAAACATGTTAGTTGTTTCTGTTAAAGGTGGGCCCTGGGGGGAGTGACCATATATATATATATACAATGGCACGTGCCAAAACGACTGAAGTGTGAGGGGCAAGAGCTGCGCGCCCTTGAGGTGCGTGGTCCAGCAACCAACGTACATAGTGTGTTGTTTTGTTTGGTGAGGGACAGCCCCCCGCACTGCAAGATGTTCCGTGTTGAACACAAAACTCCACTGGTGTATCTTCGCTTCAAGAATGGAAGTGGACAAGGGGTGTTGAAGGCCTAGCTCAGAAAGGCGTTCCTTCCACTTCCATATTGTTTGGGGACCAGGCTACCATCAAAGACCTAGACACCCACTTAGAATGGGGGTTTTGTCAACAGCAAAGAGCACCCGACTTGGGCAACATATTTCTTGAATCCTCAAATAAATCCTTTGCCAGGAGCTCCATTGACCCGGAGTGCAACGTTTCAAGGACGAACCGGCTTCGGTTCGCGGGCAATGCGCATTGGTCACGCTCGAAAGGCTTCGGCACTGGATGGAATGGGCAATCTGAGCCCGGGGGGAGTGGTTCCCTAAGGCTCCCTAATGTACCTAATCCCTACAAAACCTTCAGGAAATTTGGGGCACTCAACTACCCCCCCCCTTTTGTACCTACCCTGAATGCAAGGCTCCAGGATTCACTGAGAACCCCTCGCCACCAGCAACCTTGTTGGTGGTTTGTAAGTTCGACCCGTTGGGAGGCGGAACCAACTAACTCACTAACTAACTACCGATAACTACCATCGAACACACGAACTTGCTAACTGACTGACTGACTGACTCACTGACTGACTGACTGACTGACTGACTCACTGACTGACTGACTGACTAAGTAACTATGGCTTTGCCTTGCGAAGGATAGCCTGTGCATACCCTGTGCACGAACACATTGATGGGAGTGTAAGTAGTTTATGCCAAGGGGTCTTCTCCGGAGAAAAAACAACAACAACAACAACAACAACAACAACAACAACAACAACAACAACAACAACAACAACAACAACAACAACAACAACAACAACAACAACAACAACAACAACAACAACAACAACAACAACAACAACAACAACAACAACAACAACAACAACAACAACAACAACAACAACAACAACAACAACAACAACAACAACAACAACAACAACAACAACAACAACAACAACAACAACAACAACAACAACAACAACAACAACAACAACAACAACAACAACAACAACAACAACAACAACAACAACAACAACAACAACAACAACAACAACAACAACAACAACAACAACAACAACAACAACAACAACAACAACAACAACAACAACAACAACAACAACAACAACAACAACAACAACAACAACAACAACAACAACAACAACAACAACAACAACAACAACAACAACAACAACAACAACAACAACAACAACAACAACAACAACAACAACAACAACAACAACAACAACAACAACAACAACAACAACAACAACAACAACAACAACAACAACAACAACAACAACAACAACAACAACAACAACAACAACAACAACAACAACAACAACAACAACAACAACAACAACAACAACAACAACAACAACAACAACAACAACAACAACAACAACAACAACAACAACAACAACAACAAGGTATCCGCGTGTTTCGCCGCCGTGAAAGGTCGGCGATTTTGCGAAAGGGCTCAAACCAGTCATCAAAGTACAGCGTTCCCAAATCACTGGCAGGCGCAAGGAAAACTAGCAATTGCTTCAACCAATCATGTCAATGCAACTCTGAAAACCATGGCCTGCGTGGCTAAAAATGCATTTTCAACACAGCAAGAAGCATGCAAACCCTTCAAAACAATGGTATTCGTGGCACATTCTGCACTTGCTCACAAAAGGCAGTTTCTACGCCTCTTGTTTGAAAAGCTTCGACTCTTGAGCACTTTTTTTTCTAATCCTCGGCCCACGTGGACGGGAACGTTAACATTTGGCCAGACTTGTATACACGTGAACGATGATGCGCGTGGACGGGAACGTTAACATTTGGCCAGACTTGTGTACACGTGAACGATGATGCGCGTGGACGGGAACGTTAACATTTGGCCAGACTTGTATACACGTGAACGATGATGCGCGTGGACGGGAACGTTAACATTTGGCCAGACTTGTATACACGTGAACGATGATGCGCGTGGACGGGAACGTTAACATTTGGCCAGACTTGTATACACGTGAACGATGATGCGCGTGGACGGGAACGTTAACATTTGGCCAGACTTGTGTACACGTGAACGATGATGCGCGTGGACGGGAACGTTAACATTTGGCCAGACTTGTATACACGTGAACTGATGCGCGTGGACGGGAACGTTAACATTTGGCCAGACTTGTGTACACGCGCGCGTGGACGGGAACGTTAACATTTGGCCAGACTTGTGTACACGTGAACGATGATGCGCGTGGACGGGAACGTTAACATTTGGCCAGACTTGTATACACGTGAACGATGATGCGCGTGGACGGGAACGTTAACATTTGGCCAGACTTGTGTACACGTGAACGATGATGCGCGTGGACGGGAACGTTAACATTTGGCCAGACTTGTATACACGTGAACGATGATGCGCGTGGACGGGAACGTTAACATTTGGACCAGAACGATGATGCGCGTGGACGGGAACGTTAACATTTGGCCAGACTTGTGTACACGTGAACGATGATGCGCGTGGACGGGAACGTTAACATTTGGCCAGACTTGTGTACACGTGAACGATGATGCGCGTGGACGGGAACGTTAACATTTGGCCAGACTTGTACACGTGAACGATGATGCGCGTGGACGGGAACGTTAACATTTGGCCAGACTTGTGTACACGTGAACGATGATGCGCGTGGACGGGAACGTTAACATTTGGCCAGACTTGTGTACACGTGAACGATGGTGCGCGATGATGCACGTGGATGATGTGAAACACCGGAACAGAAATCGCGTGACAGTTCTACGGCGGCGAAACACGTCACTGGCAACAACAACAACAACAACAACAACAACAACAACAACAACAACAACAACAACAACAACAACAACAACAACAACAACAACAACAACAACAACAACAACAACAACAACAACAACAACAACAACAACAACAACAACAACAACAACAACAACAACAACAACAACAACAACAACAACAACAACAACAACAACAACAACAACAACAACAACAACAACAACAACAACAACAACAACAACAACAACAACAACAACAACAACAACAACAACAACAACAACAACAACAACAACAACAACAACAACAACAACAACAACAACAACAACAACAACAACAACAACAACAACAACAACAACAACAACAACAACAACAACAACAACAACAACAACAACAACAACAACAACAACAACAACAACACAACACACGACGACAACGACGAACGACAACAACAACAACAACAACAACAACAACAACAACAACAACAACAACAACAACAACAACAACAACAACAACAACAACAACAACAACAACAACAACAACAACAACAACAACAACACAACAGCAACAGCAACAGCAACAGCAACAGCAACAGCAACAGCAACAGCAACAGCAACAGCAACAGCAACAGCAACAGCAACAACAGCAACAACAACAACAACAACAACAACAACAACAACAGCAGCAGCAGCAGCAGCAGCAGCAACAACCTCAACATCAACATCAACAACAACAACAACAACCACAACAACAACAACAACAACAACAACAACAACAACAACAACAACAACAACAACAGGGTTGACAAAATGTGATTCACACAATCTGAACATGTATATATATATATACATACATATACATATATATTCATTGGTATACCAGAAAGTGGCCAAGGTACCCGCAAATGTGATCATGAACCCGAAAACCCCCAATGCTTCCCGACCCCGCAAAACGCGGCTGGAGGATAGCTGAGCATGCGGCATCCATTGTGACCAGGATGTCTCTGCTAAGGCGGGAAGTGTCTGGTTGACTGCCTGGCGTTTTGTCCGTCGGATGTTTGACCTTGATCCTTTCCGTAGCCTCTGGTTGACTCAGCGAGGCACTGCTCGCGCCATGTTGAGTCCCTGGCGCCTCACGGTGAGGCGGCCGTGGGTCAGAACCAATGGAATCCCATTTTGGGGTAGGTGCACCACCCAGTTTAGACTATTTTACTGGGGATCGGGATGTTCAGAGGGGGCTACGATTTGGATTGGGATGTTCACTGGGGGCACCAGCAGGGATTTTGACCAATGGCCAGGCTGCCCTCTGGCTCTCTCCTAGCGGAGCTCTCGGTGCACAGAGACACTTTGGTCTCGCAGCTGAAGCAGCGCATCACGGCGGCCGCGAAGCTGCCGCCGGGGCGCGTCGTGCGCTGGCTGGCCTCGGGCACCACCCAACTCAGCGATGAGGAGTGCCTGCACTCGGATGGAGAGTCGCTTCACTGTTGTTGGCATGTTTCTAGGTTTTCGAGTTCTTTACGTTTTGCGTCGGGGGCGGCCAAACAAAAGAAGTCGGCTCTTTTTGCAAGCCCATCCCAAAATTTGTAAAGGTTGGTCGCCATTTGCGGAGATGTGCTGTCGGGGGATTTCGAGACCTACAAACCTGGCTGCCGCTGCTGCGACGAGGGCGAGGTGCTTCAGACGGCACGCTTCTTCGCGGATGGCACTGCCTTGATTCACTGCGGGAGGCACGAGGAAGGCAGGAGGTTTCGGTACCGCCTTGGCCCCTTGCAGGGACAGGAGCGGGAGCTGGAACTTCATGAGGATGGCAAGGAAGATGACGCACCCTTGGCAGGCACCTTGATCATCGCGAGAAGTCGAATGTATCGTTGTGTGAAGATTCCTGAGCTGAATATCGACTTGAAGGACATCAGGTACCTGAGGAGGGTCGGCGCGACCGCCCTTGACCAGAAGCTGGCTCTCGAGTTCCCCTGGACTGATTTCCTTGAGACGAATGAGACTCAACAGCTTGAATGGCTTGCTCGGATAAACCCTTCCCGCACGCTAATCCCTTCTGATGAAGATGAGATACGAAACGCCCTTGACAGGGCATGGGTGTATTGGCAGTGGCAGATGGAGCAACAGTCGGACTTCCATGTGATGTCGCTGGCAGAGATGTACGATTTCTCAAACAGGACTGCCAAGACTGCCAAGCAGACCCAGACGCACACCCAGCGCAGGCAGAAGGCGGTGAAGACGCGCAAGAGCAAGCACCAACGCTGGGAGAGGCCGAAGATTTGAGCTGTCTGGCTCCCTGCGCGAGTTTGCCACGTTATCTCTTACATCCAAGAATGCCGCATGCGTTCAGACTGCAGCGTTGGCATTGTTGGTTGTGTAAAGCTCGTTTGCATGCGTTGCACAGTGTACAGATGGGCCACCCAGCGGCATCAGCAGCACGAGTACAAGAAAAAGTAAGGTGCTTGCTGGGCGACTGCAAACGGCTTCCCGCAACCATTCCCCACTGCGCTGGCCCCTTTTTTGGAGGGTAAGTAAGGAAAACGAAGAGAAACAACTGGGAGACCAACTGGGTGCTCAGTTACTGAGTTGCTTAGCTGCATCGAAATCGATGGGGTGAGCCTTACCCCATCGCCTTCGAGGCTTGTGCCCTTGCAATCAATTTGTTTATTCTAAACGTGGCACATAGGACCCCAACAGCCCAGCTATCATTCGACCAATCACCCCCCCCCCCCACCCTCCAACCCCCCACCCTCACCCTCCCCCACCCCCCCACCCTCCCCACTTACCCCCCCACCCCCCCACCCGCGTTTGGGGTTCCATCCAAGCCACCACCCATCCTTCCCCCCATGAAAGGTATGGCATCGCGCCTGCCATAGAGGTCCGGGATCACGGCTCCGAGGACCGAGACAGACGGGAGACGGGATGGAGGCGTCAGCCTGGAGCCAGGGTTCTGGTGACCAAATGGCCCGATCCTGAAAGCAAAGGATCAGATGATCAGCTAGCCCCCAGTGTTTTTGCCTTGTTTTTTGTTTAAGCTTTTTGGCTTTTTGGCTTTTTGGCCGGTGAATCGTAGACATACCCAGAACGGGGAAGTCTTGTTGTGTAAGTGGAATCGTGGATGGGAGAGGGGCCGCGTTTTCTTGCTGCGCGGGCTGATTTGAGCCTTCAGTATATGCAGGATACATGTGAGGTTTGGTCTGCGGGTCTGTGGGGGCAAACTTTCCCGAAAGCATCCGTGCACAGCCCTTGGACAAATTTGCATAGAGTCACTTACACAACAGTCGCAGACCAGTTGCACAGCATCACTTGAACTGACCAACTTGCGCAGAGCCATTTGCGCAGAGTCAGTTGCAGAGAAAGTTGCCCAGAGCTACTTGCACAGAGCCATCTGCGCAGATATACTTGCGCAGACCAACTTGCACAGAGTCAGTTGAAGAGTCAGTTGCGCAGACTCAGAGTCAGTTGAAAAGTCAGTTGCGCAGAGCTAGTGCACAGAGCTATCTGCTTAGAGGCGAGAAGCCTGCAGCATAGTCTGGGAAAAGAACTTGGGCGAGAGGTTGGTTCCCCGGACCAACCCTCTGCAGGGATCGGCGTGGTCGATATGAAACAGCCTAGGGCTCTGCCTGGATGAACGTGGCTGACGAAAAACAGGGGACCTTTGGTGATTCTGCGGTGCGCGGATAAACCCTATGCACATCGTGCCGGTCGAATCGCTCTTGCTGTCGTCCCGTGCGAATACTGCTGCTAGCGAGCTGGTCCTTGGAAGTTGCCTCGTGGTTGGAGCGACTGCTCTTGTAAGCGTGCGGTCGCCGGGCGCGATGTCCGCCGTTGGCTTAGCCTGAGGCTTCCAGCCGGGCACTTGTAGCAGCCAAGCTGCGGCTTCCACTGCCTTCAGACCGTTGTGATCGCAGCTCTGGTCTGGTTAGGCTTCTGGCCACTGACAGCCGTCCTGGTCGGCCACTCGCGGGATAGGTTCGGACTGCAATAGGTTCGGACTGTCACCGGGCAAAACCATCATGCCGGTCGCAGCGGTTTGTTAGAGGCTCTGGCTTTCGAAGCAGTGTCTGTGGGCTGGTAGTGTATGGGCTCTCCAACAAGATTCGTGAAGAGAGGAAGAGACATAGCGGCGGTTTTTGAATTGTGTTTACGGGGCTCCCCTTTGACAAAAAGAAACGCCGCGCTGATGGATGAGCTCGCTGCCGCGCAGGCCATCCCATTTATCCCCAAATATCTTCTGTACATCGTCTCCGAGCTGCTGAAAAACGCCGCACGCCCGGCGATGAATTGACACCCAGCCACGGACGGATTGTTTTTGGGGGGGCTTTTTCAAAGGCGACCTTTTGAATATCCAAGCGGCCCTGTTGGCTCAAACCCGCCGGATGTTACCCATGTGCAGTTGTCCCTGTCGTTTGTCAGATATGAGTGGTGGGAAACTCCCGCGCATGTGTAAGTGTGAGAGTTTTTGTTAGAGTTGATACCCTTCTTTTCGGCCTTTCGGGGGGAAACCAGGAGGACACATGTTCTTTCTTGCTTATTTAGTTTGTTTGGGCCCTAAAACCACAGACCCATACAACAATCTGTCAAGCTAATGTTGGGACACGAACATCTATATCGCTTGAAGACTAACTGGCGGTTAGAGTTAATGATATGAGGCGCATGCATACTATGTATATATATATATATACGTATATATATATGCACACATACGTACATACACACATGCATACATACATGCATACAGACAGAGAGACATGCATACACGCACACACACACACACACTTCACACACATACTCATATTTGTCCGCCAAGCGCAAGGTCGAGCAGTCTTGAGTATAACCGTGTGTTTTGAGGGATCAACCTACTTTGACACCACACGCGAATTTGGCACAGAGCCAAACCTGGTGAGAGTCGCTGTGCCAGGTGCGAGCTACAGTTGAGTCGCACACAGACAAGGCCAGATGCCGCCTGCTGGGAGATGACGCAATATGAGTGAAGATCGTTACCCCGTGTAGTTCATTCGTTCTTATGTTCAACACTCTCCCACACACTGGCACAGAACCGGACTGCGGGTCCCTGCTGGAGAACTCCCCTGAAAGGTTTAATATGTTGTTCGTCTGTGTTTGCGCTCAGCACACGATTGCTAAGATTCAAAACCCCCGGCCGTCTTTAGTGCCTCTTCCTTCAAGCTTATCATGACTCACGCTCAGAGTTCACATCAGGAGGCTGTTGGTACTAGAGCATAGTTCCAAGTAATGTTGACCCCGGATTAATAAACCCCGGTTTATTAATATGGGGGTGTCCCCGGTTTTAGTGGGGATTTATCACTTTTGGAGGGGAACACCCCCATATTAATAAACCGGGGTTTACTAATCCGGGGTTTATTTATCCGGGATCAACATTAGCTTGCTTTGCGGTTGAGGACGGTGGTTTTTTTCACGCCCCGCCGCGGAAGTGTGTCACACAAGCCCGGTGCCATGCAGCGAAGCCCAATTTTGTTTCCTCTCCAAGACGGGAGCCCAAGAGAATTGGTGTAAGTTTGAGAAGTGTTCGCCAATGGTTTGCGGTGACCTTCAGGATGGCAGCTTTGTCCAGCTGGAGCTGGTAAATCATGAAGCTTGTGCTGGGGTCTTGGAGTATATCATACCAGGATCGCCGCATGACACAGATATTTCATGGCGTTTCTTCGCTTGGATCCGCAGCATCCAGACCTTCCATTTGCCGAATCTGCTTTCTTGTCCGGGGCTTAGAGAACCTCTATCACTGGAAACTGTGTGGTTTTTCTCCAGGGTGTTCGTTGCAGGAACCCGATCAAAGATATACAGCCCGAGATTGACCGACGGACCCCAAGAACTGATCTCCGTTTTAGCTGGCTGAGGAGGGATCGCATGGGGGTTGACGATTTAGCCACTTGACGAGCAAACGGAGCGCGACGGGGCTCAATCACCAGTTGAAGCTCCTTGAGCCCTTTTTATGGGTTCCATGTTTCGTAGAGAAGACCCAACAATTGCCGGCTAAAAAGGTTGGCTAGACGGGAAACCTGCGTTTTGGTCGTTTCGAAGGGGGGATTTACAAGTTTTAAGGCTTGGATGAACAAAATCTCCGTATTTCGACGGCACAACAGCTGGCTGGTGCCAAGTAGGGAATGACCGAGACCAGGTGTTGGGAATGAACCGGAAGGGTATTCCCGAATAGAGGACTCCGAATCAGATAGATGGTTTTTCTAAACGGTCATTCCGTTTCTCATTCCCTGTATCCCCCGAACCGAGCGCAAGAAAAAGCGCATAGCGAATCACGGCTAGGCCCTGCCTCCCGTGCACGTGGCAGTCAGCGGCGACGAGCTCGCCTGTTGGCCGCAGAGGGGCTTTTTGGGGTTGGCCTCTCTCAAACCCCAGAAGAAACCATGTTACTACTGTGGACGGACGAAATCCTGCACCACTTTGAAACCATGGGAAACCATTGTTTGTTGGTATTTACAGGGGAATCATCCTTCTAGGAATTCTTAGGTGGTGTAGGATTTTGTCCATCCACAGTATCATGGGGGCTGGGGAGGGAGGGGAGGGGGGGGGGGGCCCAATAAGGGGCTTATTTGGGCTCCCTCCCCCCCTCCCCCCAGCCCCCTCCCCCCGGCCCCCTCCCCCCAGCCCCCTCAGCCCCCATGATACTAGGGAGAGTTGGCGACCCAACGAAACCAACTAAAGTGATCTAAACACCGGAACCGGATGGCTGCCTCCCAACACCTAAGGAACCGGATGGCTCCCACCACAGGAACCGGATGGCTGCCTCCAACAGAAGGCATTTGGGGGAGGGTGCCTTGAAGATCAGCTTCCTCTTAACGGTACCAGGTCCTTGTCAGGTGCCATGTTAGAGGGTGGCTGCTCAGAAAGAAAAACATAAGAGTGATGTCTTGTTGGCTTGGGTACTTATTGAGGGGGGCGACTTGGGAAATGGTGATTTCTGAAAGGGCCCCGAATCCAGAAAGGGTTTCAGAAGAAGGTTCTAAGACAACATGCTGTTGTTTGGAATGTAGACAAAACCCGGGCAAGATGTTCGATATAGGGTATTTGGGCTACAACATTTAGATCAATTAGGGTCATAGGGGCAACAACAATAGTGGGTAGACCACTAAAATAAACTTCAATAGCTGTGGGTTTTGAGTGTGACTCATTTGAAACGTACGAGCTTGCCTGAGCTCCCAAGGTCATTTACACGTCAATGGGAATTTGGTTGGAAGATGACCGTTTTGTTTGGCTAGATTTTCAGAAAGGTCAATCATTTCGGGGATCCGATGGGAAACGGAAGCTTGGTTCCCTGAAGTCCACACCAATTGATTGGGGTCTGCAGCTGGTCCCTTGGAGATTTCTGAATGTGTTGGGTGTGTCTTTAAAAGAAAGCCGTAGTGGCAGCTGGGTCTTGGAATAATGTTGACCCCATACCAATCAACCCCGGGCCAGTGTATTAATAGGTTTGGCCCCTCCAAAAGTGGTCTGATTCCCCACATTTCACCCATGGGTACCCTCCTAAACTGGGGTTGATGAATATGGGGTCCACATTTCTGTGGAAAAAGTCCACGCCGCGCACCAGCGATTGGTGGTTTGTCTCGGTTCAGCCAGTCGAACTGGTGCCAAGTGGGTTTCATACATTTCACAGTATCTAGGTCCTCCAGTCCTCTACTAAAATAGACTGCAGAAAAAAGGGTACCCTTATTCTAACCTCTGTACTGGAGGACCTAGGTATGGTTACGGTTACTGGTTACCCCTTTAGCCATGAATTCGGGCCGACGTACGCAGGGCTACCGCTTTCCCAAGTTGCGTTTTGGTGGTCAAGAGCCTGTGGTTTGAGGCCTAGAGCTCAGGTTTTAGACGTAGAACCCAAAAGTTTCAGGCCACAAACTCCAACGCCCCAAATTGGGCGTGTTTGGTTTGTGGGTGTCCCTCCAAAATGGGATTTCTCCGTTTTTCCTTTTGGTTTCTCCCTTTAACACCAACAAAGAGGGGGTTTCCCGACAAATAGACACACCCAAATGGCCATGGGTCAAAACCCTGTACCCCCAGTGAATATCCCAATCCCCACTAAAATAGGTTCTACAAAGGGTGGTGAATTCACCAATCCCAACCAAATTGGGATCCCATTGGTTTTGACCCACAGCCAAATGCCGAACCTTTTGTACCTTGGCGCTTCACCTCCCATGGCCTGAGGGCTGCTGCTGTCGCATCTCAGACGAGGGTGGCGGCATTCCTCAAGCGGAGCTGCCGAAAGTGTGGCGCGCGGCCCGGGTGGAGTTGGATTTAGCCGGAAAGCTCACGTCCAACGAGTTCTTGAGGCGTTTCTCGGGGCTGACTCCCCCTTCTTTTCAGCCCTCGTTCTTTTCCAAAGCCGCTGGTGGTTTTCTAGAAAGATCCGGATCCCTGGGCTCAGAATGGGGAAGTTCTCCTTAGAGCCTTGGTCACTCTTGGGGGTCTGGCGGTGCCATTTTCCGCGGGCGTGCGCTTTCGAAGTGCGGTTGCTTTCTTGAGGCCTTCCGCCCACTCGAGCGGAAGTGAGTGAGAGATTGTGGGAGCAAAGCTAGAGGAAATTCCAGCCAGCCTAGAGGCAACGCATGAGATGTTCTGCTTGAAGGGTGACCCTGGGTGGGTATCTTTCAATCTGAGCTACGGCCCCTTTCAGACACGCTGTCTATGGTAGCTTGGGTGTCTTATTAGGTTGAAGCCTGCAGGCTGGGTGACGTGTGTCTCAGAAGATGGAGCAATAACATGCATCATCTTGTGACATCACCAGCAAAGTGCTCAATGTCCTGACGAAGTGAATCTTGTTTTCTTTTTGGGCTTCTTTATCGTCCCAATGTGTGTTTTGTGATGTGTTATGTTCTCAAAGTAATGCAAGCACGGATAGTAGTATCATCAAACGCATCATAACACATGGCACAAACTTGATCATCCTGCTTCAATTTTCCACACTAATTTAATTTTATTTGTACATGTCAACATCTACATTTTTCATGTGTGTCTATATGTTGGTGTTGTTTGCCCTCTTCAGCTTTCTTAGTTGGTTCAATGCAATTTGTGTGTTGGCTTGAACAGGTTGTTCTTGTCTTGATATCATCATTCATGGTGTTTGACATCTATGTATTAATATCACCTATGAACTGGGCTATTATCTAACATGTCTGCATTCATGCATAAATACAGAATGCTGTTCCAATAGTTGTTACATGTGGTATGTGTGTGTGTACTTAACAAATCAATCTGCGTTTTGTAATGGCAATGTTTCTAAATTTCTCCGTTGATTCAGCATCGTTGGATATCTCACGCTTCATCGTAACCAAGCTGTAGAGCAATGTTAATAATTTGTATGTCAATATGTTTTATGTCGACATATTGTATTTTGATATATTTTGTCAATATGTGTTTTTGTCTTCAAATGAACATACTGCACTACAAACCTCAGTTGTTCAGTGGCACCCCTTTTCCCTTTTTTTTGGTGGCTGCCCCACTAAAAATGGTCTTCCCAAAAAAGGGTTCCCTTTTTTCGAGGGTCACTGAAAAACTGAGAAACAAATGAACAAACATACATCATATAAAAGTCTTATAGCCAGAATAGTTTACCGACAGCCCCCAAGCAGAGCTTCGTTTTTCTTGGTGGCGATCGAACTGACCAGGAAGGGGGCCGACTCAAAAATATGCCTGGTGATGGTTCGGTTTTTGGGGCCCGGAAAACGGCAGGCAACTTGTGCAAATTGGAAATTCATCCGTCAGGCCCGGAAAATACGGCAGGCCCGGAAAAACATTCATCCGTCATGTGCAAGTTGCCGGATGAATGCGCAGGGATCAAGGGGAGTGCCTGACTTGACGGTTGTTCTTTCCAACGGAACTCGGCTGAAGAACTTCACGTGTCTCGCAATTGAATAGCATACATGAATATACCTTGAAGTCAATGTTTCGATATGTTACTTTTTTCTTTCAGCTTTTACCGCAACTCTGTTTCTGTCATTTAGCTCGGTTTGTTGCCTTTTATATTGGTTGAACATGTTCCTGGCAAGGGTACTGCCCACGGTCGTGCACAATGCGCGTATACGTGTGTTTTATCTCTTTGTTGACGAGCTTCAGCCAAACTGCCACACAGCCAGAATGGGATAAACTGTTCAAGACGATCATTGTTGTTTGCAAAAACACAAAAGGAACAGCTTCCTGACCACAATTTGAATTGCAAGCGGTAGCCTCAAAACAAGACACACCCACATGGCCATGGGTCAAAAGCCCGTACCCCCAGTGAACATCCCAATCCCCAGTAAAATAGGAAGCCTAAAATGGGTGGTGAATTCACCAATCCCAACCAAATTGGGATCCCAAAACGGTTTTGACCACCACAGCCACGGGTAAAATAGGTCCTAACATGGGTGGTGCACCTACCCTAAAATGGTACCATTGGTTTTGACCCACCGCCACGGCCCTGAATTTGGGTTTTGCCCACGCCAATTGCCAGGTCATACTTGTACACAACCGCGGAGCCCATAGAGACGACCACGCCGGCAGCCCGGCAGCCGCAGTCGGACACAAAACGAAACCCGCGACCTCTGGAAATCAGGGCTGGCTTTTTTTGTGGTTGTATGCCCCAGAAAACCCTGGGGTTCAACCCCCATTAAAAGAGACGTTGACCCCAATTTGGATGATGACAATCCTTAGGCAAACAATGGTGATTGTACGAGCCCCCATTGTTTTAATGGCGGTTTGAACCCCAGAACAAAGACAAATTGGAGGGTAGAGGGTAGCGGAAGCCATCTTGGACAGAACGCGCGTGTCGAATCGGCGACCTCGGGCTGAACCCGCGGATTGTGACTCTAGTGAAAGGTGCACTTTTGGGGTTCTCATCCATCAGTTTTGGTCCAGAAAAATGGTGAGCCGAAAATCTATGTGGGAACAGCGTCAAGTTGGCGCCCGCTGTTTTCGTGGTTTCGGACCCAACGTCAAAGGACCCCTGACGCGCAAGGCCCGAAGCATGTGTGCATGACTTTCCCACATTTCCCTTCCATGGGTCAACTCTCCAACTGGGTCAAATGTCGGTGTAAGTACCTACCTAGAGTCTCCATGATCCTTTGAACATGGGGTCATTTCCCAACAAAGGGGTCATGGACCCATTTTTCAAGGGTCATGGAGACTCCAGGTGCATGGATTCTCTTGCAGGGGTTCCTTAAAAAAAAACTCAGGTGATATCCCCAACAGCATGCGGGTTCCACCCTGGTGGAACCCTCGTGGAACCTTACCTCAGGGCCGCCCCGGGCCCCGGAGCCTATCTGGGACTATCGACCCCAAAGCTGTCAGCTGGGGCAAAATCAGCGACCGAAGCGCGCCGTAGGTCCAGGAAAGCTGTGGACGCCCCGGTGGACCCACGGCTGCTTGAGCAGGCCATCTGCGAGGCGGTCTTGGATCGCGCTGAAAGAGTTCTGGGTTTGGGTTTGTCTTAAAATGGGCTGGGTTTCTTTGCATTTTGCCAAGGGCTGTTAGGACTTGAGAACTTTTTGCCAACGAATTTGGGTTTTCCGAGCTAAACCACTAAAAGTTTTTCACCTTTTGCAGGGGAGCAGAAAGCAACCGAGGTTTGTCTTAAGAATAGGTTGGGTTTGTTTTGACCATTTCTGGGGGTCATCAAAGTCAGAAACTCGGGCGGTTGCCTTTTAGCACAATTACCACTTTGAGTGTGACTTTGAGAATTGTAAAACCATGGGGCCAGATAGTGGGAGCCCCCCAAAATGGGTTTGTCTTGTAATCGATGAACCTTAAATGGGTTTGTCTTACCTTACAATCGATGAACCCCCAACATGGGTTTGTCTTAAAATCGGGGAACCCCCATCATGTGTTTGTCTCAGAATAGGGCAAGCCCCAAAATGCATTTTGGTTTCCCTTTGTTTGCTCCCTTCAACACCAACCATGTCCGTGTTGCAAAAAGACACACCCATGTCCGTGTTGCAGATCATGGAACCCAACAACCCCATCATTCTTAGAGGAATTTCCGTTTGGGGAATGGGTTTCATGCTAGCTTGTAGGGCAGCATTTTAAGGTAGTGAAACAACCACAGACAACCGACGTCCAACCGGCCAACCAGTGTGGTACTGTCAACTTCGAATGTAACAAGGGGGCCATACTGGTCAGGGACAAGTTTGCGAACCATGTGTGTGATGTAAAGGCCACATGTACGGGCCCATATCATATGGATGCGTCTTGTTTCAATCCAAGCCTTGGGTGTGTCTTCAAGGAATCATTCGGAAATCCACAGGCACCCACCCATTGCAAGACTTGCTGCGTCCACCGAGCCTGCGTTCGAGGCCGGCCACGCTGATCCAATGCGGGTGCCTTAATCCCTTGGATGGCTGCGAACGGCGTTTTGGCGCGGACGAAACGCGAACTCAGATTGGGAATCTCTGGGAGGTATGCATCAGGGAAACCAGCAGGGATACAGGGGGAATCAGTTTGATACGGGACCATTTCCCCTTAGATGCACCACAAAGTTTGATATGAGAAATGGCGCCAAGGGAATCCCTCATATCCCCGCTCCCTCCGTATCCCCGCTTGTTCGTTTGTCCAAATGAAGCTCGCCACTCCAAAATGGGGTAGGGGACTTCAGGTGTTCTTCCCCAGTACCCTGTGTTCCTTTCCTTGGGAAGGGGTTCCCCCTTAAACTCAACCAACCCAAGACTCTAACGGTATCTTCCCCATTCTTTCCAGGGATCCGGATCTTTCTAGAGCACCTCCGGAAACCCAAGGAAACGGCAGGTTATGGACTAGGGTTGTGGGATCACTCAGGGGTTTATCCAACCACTTCTGTGATACAAGGGAATCTCCCCCCTATTTGGGGCGTTAGTCTTTGGGAAGCCCTTTTTGTTGTATCACAGAAGTGGTCATTTCCCACAGCCCTGGGCTAGAACAATGGTTGAAAAGAATGGGGGAATCAGCCCCTAGAAAAGCAAATCCATGGCCACTGGGCATCTGAGTCTCTATCAGTTTGACTTCATGGAACGAAGGTGGATTGAGCCCGAATGGACATAGGCGCACACACACACACACCAAATGGAAGTCCCCCAACTTGGGTGGGATTCTCGCTTGCGCGCAAGCTGGTAGCCTATGTGTTCCGGGTTTCTATGCCTGGGTAGATGTGGGCAAGCTTAGGGCAACATAGTGCAACAACATTTTCAGGCTTGGCATTGGTTTGCATGTACAACGCGTTTGTACTTCCTTACTTGCTGATGTTGGTGGCAACATACACCTCCATACCTCCAAAACCTATTGCTGACAACGGTGATAAGGATACCAATCCCCAGAAACACATTCCACTTGGGGCGGACAACATAGACTTGCATTGGAGATTTGTTTTGAAGGGGTTGTTCGGTCGGATCCCAAGAACACTTAAAGGGATCCTCCAGCAATGCACCAAAACCCCGGCAGCTGTTTGGTTCAACCGAACAAACAGTTGAACGTGTGTATGTGCGTGCGCGTAACTTTCCCGCTTGTTTTTGCCGGCAAAGCGTCGGTCACTTGTCTTCCAAGGACATCCACAGTCAAAACCCGGGTGGGTAAGTCAGTCCCAGCCAGAGCTAGTTGCGGCCGCCTTCTAATTTCCTTTCATGAATTTGGGTAGACCCATTCTAGTAATTACCGATCGGTTTTGGTTGCTAGTACCGATCGGTTTTCATTGTGACTCAGGTGTAATTGCTACCCCCCAGACACTCCCGATCAATTTAGGGCTCTCAAACAGCCAGGTTTTGAGACCCTCAAACACCTGCGGCGTGTCCAGAGGGGTCGAGTCTTCCATTGCAAGCCCCAGGAGCGCCTGGGCCCAGAGAGAACTTCGCGTTTGGAATTCGTCCCCGTAGGCATGCAACGGCGGGGAATGCTCGTCTATGTTCGGGGCGGAAAGTGGCTGGCACCGGTAATTTTCGGCGCTCGATATGGTGAGTTTTTAGATATTGGCGAGGAAAAAAAAACATGTTGCAGTGTTTGTAATATATGCATTGTACAGGTGATCAAAATATGACGAGCTCACATGGCGGCAAACTCTTTCTTATGATAAAGGCTCGTTACTGGAACATTCCCTAATTCCAACTTACATCAGGGTGAAAGTAGATGGTGCAATTTGCCCGTTCGGGTTTAGCCAATTCCAGTTCGGGTTTACAACCCAGAATTGTGGCATCTACTGGTACCTAGAGTCTCCATGACCCTCTGAAAAATGGGGTCATTTCCAAAACAAAGGGGTCATGGACCCATTCTTGAAGGGTCATGGAGACTCCAGGACTTTCACCCTAAGGAATGAACTCAATCTCCATCAGCCCGCTTTTTGTTTTTCTCGGAACGGAGTCTGTGGAAGACCCCCCCAGGCTCGTTCCGTACGCCTAGGGATAGGTGCGGTTCGCCCATTGCCGGCCTGGGATGTGGGCCGCCGACTGAGAGAGTTGTTGAAGTGACGTCACGGGGGGGTCTTTTTGGTGGAACCCCCAATGTGGGGTGGTTTTAAAGGGACGACCAGGAGGATCACCACCATTTTGGGGGGTTCCCTATAATTGAAGTTCCCTTTTGTCCTTGTTGACAGAGCTGTGTTGGGTTTGTTGGGTGGCGTTCTGTAGTTTTCGATGTTCCGGTCTTGTGTCCTGGTTGGTTTTGTCTAGTCGTTTTGCTGTTGGGCTCCATGGGTTTACCGAGCCAAACAAACCTGGGGCTTCTATGGGGTATATGGCTTGAGGCGGGTGTCAGGGACACCTAGTGATTGCAACGAGTGCCTCCAGTGATTTCCATTATGGGAATTCCAGGCGCCTCTGGCAAATTCCAGTCACTACATCTAGTCATTTCCATTATGGGATTTCTGGCTATTCCGCGGTAAGCATGGAAACCTGAAGGCGACGTGAAGCCGACCTGAACTGGAGGGCCATGGCAGAAATCGACATCTTCTGCCAGAAGAGCCCATCAGTTTCCACGTGTTGTCATCGGCATGCTTCATTGATCAAGGCTCCTGAAAAGATACATTTTGCCCGTTTGAAACATGGCTTTTTCCGCCAAAATAAAGGGAAACCATTATTTACAAGGCAATGTTCAGGTGTATAATGGAAGGATCCCTGTTGATAATGTTTCCATTTGTGTTTGTGTAATTTCTTGCTTACAGCTTGCTTACGCGCTTGCTTGCTTTGCTTTGCTTTGCTTTGCTTTGCTTTGCTTTGCTTTGCTTAGCTTTGCCTTGCCTGCTTGCCTGCTTGCTTGCTTGCTTGCTTGCTTGCTTGCTTGCTTGCTTGCTTGCTTGCTTGCTTGCTTGCTTGCTTTCTTCAATGTTTTCGTGCGTGCGTGCGTTTGTGTGCGTGTGTGTGTGTGTGTGCAGTTGTTGCTGTTGTGCAAGTTGTGACTATTGTTTCGGTGGTTGGGCCACATTGAGCAAAATCGGGCAACTGCCCAACCCTGCAAGACCGTAAATGGCCCGCCCTTTGGTTGCATGTCCACCATCTCGAAATACGGGAGCAAAAACCTAGGGCTCCACCCTCCCTCAACTCAAGAAGGGTTATGAGAACCTTTTCATCGAGGAGCTGAACTTTTTCCGGGAGCGATTCTCGTCAAAGTCGGGCCCAACCAGCCACAATTAAATGCGTGAAGCTCAGAAGGTGGGGACTCCAAGCATGTGGATATCCTGGCTGTTGATTTCTCGACATTGTCTAGGTCCCCCAGTAGTGCCCTTTGACCCCTTTTTTTTGGGGGGGGGGAGGGTTCCCTTACTAAAGTAGACAACGCCGACAAAAGAAACGGTACCAACTGATTCTAGCCTCTCAAATCTGGAGGACCTAGTTGTGAAAGGCCTCTGTCATGGTGATGGTTCCTGAGATTTCAGGGGCATCCTTCTGCCACGGGGCTCACAGAACGGTGGCTTCCCTTGGGGATATTTCTACCAGTTTTGGAAACACTTCTAGCCATTGGTCCACAGATGAACATGAAACCCAACCAGCCATGAGAGGAAGCTTCGGTTTTTGGGGTGTCCGTTTTGGGTTTCATGTTATTCTGTTCAATGCTGCCTGTTTTAGAGGAAACTCCTTTTGTTGGGTGTTTGATTGTTCATTCCTTCCATGTTAATTTGCAGCTTTTGAGGCAACATAGGACACTCCTTTTGGCGGGGGGGGGGGGGGGGCCTTTTTCTGTTTCCTTCCATGTCAATGTGCAGTAAGGCCTGTCCAAAAAATGTGCTCGTTTTGGTTTCTTCTATGTTAATTTCTTGAAAGAGGCCTGCCGCCTGCCTTTCAAAACCCTCCAATTAACATGGAGCCTGAATGGGACCCGGTCCCTTTTATCCGGAAAATTGTCCAAACCACCCCAACGTCATTGGTCGTCAGGTTCCATGTTTGGTGGGAAGGTGCATGTTGACTGCTACTGGGTAGGATCTTTAGACTTTAACTCTTTGGTTGAAATAAAGGCGTTTTCCACTAAACCCCCCAAAAGTTAAAAACTTTTTGCAGGGGGGTCAACAGCAGGGTTGTGGGATCAAGGGGTTTCTCCCCACTTCTGTGATACAAGGGAATCCCCCTTTGTATGAAGAAACTAGTCTTTGGGAAGCCCTTTCTGTTGTATCACAGAAGTGGATTCCATTCCCCACAGCCCTGGTCAACAGCAACCAAGACATGTGGCTGTGGCTCAAAAAACCAGTACCAAAATGGCTTGCCCTGGTAAGTGGAAACATGGACCAACACCTGCGGAGCCAGCCCCCGCTGTTTAATTTTGAGCCACACCCATTTTGGGTCAAATCCCGTACCCCCAGTGAACATCCCAATCCAACCACTAAAATAGGTTCTAAAATGGGTTGTGAATTCACCTACCAACCAAAATGTGGATTTTTTTCTCCATATTTCTCCTTGGCTCTTTCGAGGCTGCCGCTGAGCCGGCTGTATGCCAAGCGCTCGCCTCGGGTTTGAATCGCGCCGGGGCGCGCGGGAGGTCGCCGGTGTCCATCTTCGCCCCTTCAAAGCGGTTGGATTGGGGTGGGATTTCGACCCCTGGAGATCTCCATGGTTTCATGTGTTGCTTTTATGGAGAATAAGGTTGACCCAAAAAATGCCGGATTCATAAACCTGTCCTATTAAGGGGGTGTTCCCTGCAAAAGTGGTCTGAATCCTCACTAAAAGGGGACACCCCCATGTTAATCAACCAGGGGCTTATTCATTTGGGGTAAACATTACTAGAAAACTGAGATCGGGCGACCCCCCCAATCCCACCCCCCTCCACCGTGAGGTAGGTGTGGGTGGCACCTCTTTTTTCGAGGGTATTTTCGGGGTTGGTTTGAAGGGAAACCAAAAGGAGAACCACATGTTTTGGTGGGGGGGACCACCATTTTGAGAAAACACCCATGTGGGAGATGTGTGATTTCTTGGTCAGCGTTTTTCTGAAGAATTTTGCCCAAAGAACCGGTCCTGCAAACTCCAAAGAGCTGGTCATGACTGGCCACCAAATTCAAGCCTGTCCTTTTTGGCTGGCAGCATATCTCAGCTGTAGGCGGAGTCGACCTTTTGAGCTTTCGGGTTTCAATTTTTGGGTCCCCCAAAGGTGATCACCTTTTACTTCTGGGTCGTTTTTGGGGGCAGCTGAGCCTATGGAAACGGGAACCGCCTCGGGCTTCGGGCTTCGCATCGTCGCCGACGAGCGGCCGGAGGCATTTCGGGGGCTCGGTGGAGTTGCAGTCGATGCCGCGCTTCGGCGCGCGGGAGCGCATGACGCATGAGAGAGAGAGAGAGAGCTGAGGTTGGCCAGAGGGAGATTTTACAAAAAAAGTAGTCGCCGCAGTGATTCAATCTCCCACGTTTTGTTGGTTTTAAGGGAACTACCAGAAAGTTTGTCTTTTTTTGGTAGGAACCGCAGTGATTCCATCTCCCACGTTTTGTTGGTAACTAAGGGAACCACGAAAAGAAAACAAGGGGACAACGGCTAGTTACCTGCTGGAGCGGTCACTCGGATCCACTAGGGAAGAGAATGAAGGAAGCCAAGGGAAAAAGGAAAGAAACACATTGAAGATTAAATTGAACGAAAGAAACAAACTAATCAGGAATGAGGAATCTAAATCAAGGAACGAAGCAAGAAATGCAAGCATCAGCTTCCCCTCAGTTAGTGGTTTGGCTCGAATTTACCCTCAAGGGTTACCCGGACCCTGAAACTGCCCATAAACAAAAACGGGGCAATTGCTCAGAAGGAAGTGTTTTGCCGTGTTTCTGGCTAGTTTGAGGGTGCAACGGTCCAGGTGCACGGTCTTCAAAAAGAAAGAAAAGAGGAGCACCACATTTTTTTAGCCCCACGCGGGGCTTTTGTGACGGAAGCTCTCCGGCGATCCGGCAAACATTAACGTCCAGCGGGCATGTTTTTTGGGCCCAGTGGCTTCCAAGGGCGGGGGAAATCGGGGGAAGTCACTGTAAGGTTTTGGTGGACTTTCCTTTTGATTTTCCTTTGGTTGATCACTGTGGCTTCACTGTACAGTGCCCATTTTGGGGGTTGAAATTGAATGGCGAAATGAGCCACGTGCTCAAAACCCGGGTAGATGAAGCTTAGTAAAGCACGATCCCAGCCATAAATAGCTGCGGATGTCCGCCTTCTTAGTTCTTTAAGCATGGTTCTGGGGATCGAGCATTTTTGTACAGGGTTTTGATTGTGACTCACATGGTTCAGGGCTCCCCATCACCCCCATCAAGGGACACTCACCTTTCATGGGCCAAAAAGGCGATGTTTAAAACGAGCCCAAAGGGAAATATATAGGGACCCCTGTGGTTGCCAACAAAACGTAGATGTGGAATCACTGGTGGCAATTGGTGGCACCTGGAGTCTTCGAGTCTGACCCAAATCAAACTGGTTGGTCATGACCCGAATCTTGATTTTGGGTAATGACCCCCGATTTTTGACAAACGTGGGACATGGAATCACTGGGGGTGGCGTCAGTTGATGGTTGGGGGAATGCAGTTGTTGGTTGAGAACAACCCCTTTCGGCTTGGATTGGTGCTTTGGATTCTTTTTTGGTTGGGGAACGCCTTGCCGGTTTGAATTCATGGGATTTGAGCCCCTGGGTCTTGAGGAGAGAGGGTCCTTGCATCCGTAGGCTTGATCATGACAGGTACGGATGCGTACGTGTACATCAACCGTCTGACGGAGAACGTGGGTCCTCAGTTTTAAGACGAGTTGACCAGAGTTTTTCCAGGCGTCTGGAGGTACTTCAGTCAGCGCGTGCGACGAGAGAGGCCCATTGGAGCAAACACTGATACCCATACTGAGAGGATCATTGTGGCGCTTGGCGCTTAATTATTCATCAGCCACCAGGCGAAAGGAACGTGTCAAAGACACGGGCTTTTTCATAAGGATGCTGAAGCCAGCGACCGGTTTTCAATGCCACATCCGTTGGTGTTCCCTCCTGGGCAGAAGCGGTACTGTGGCATTCGCGGGCTCGGGCATCCAGCGATCTCATCGCGCCCCAAGTTGGCCCATGGGGACCAAACAGCTTTCGTGTTGTCTCAAAATGAGGGGAATTTCCCTTGGTTCCTCTCAAAACAACAATCCCGGATACATAACACAATCCCAGATATACATATTGATATACATGTTTATTTGTTTTTAGTTTTATGTATTTATTTATTTATGTATCTATTTCTATATATTTATTTATTCATTTGTTTATTTATAGACCTGTGTAAGTGTCCGTGTTGGGTGAATCGATCTGTCTTTTGTGCAGCTCATGGGCCCATTCTGCTGCAGGTTCTCATTGCCGTTGATTCCTGAAATGTCGCCATGTTCTTGCGAGCGGGGGGTACTAAAAATCTAGGGGTACCTTCCACATTCTTTCCAGGGATCCTTCTTTCTAGAAAACCTCCAGAAACCCAGGGAAAACGGCCGTTTTTGGAAAGAACAATGGTTGAAAAGAATGGGGAATCAACCCTTAGAAAAAAACAAGCTTACCATGAAGGTCCTTTGCTTGATGCTTCCCGAAAGTTCTTCCATTTGCTGAAATGAATATGAATTTATTTTCCCTTGCTGGTTTTAAAGGGAATCGATTTCACAACTGGACATATTTTCTCATTTTTTCCCGGGGGCTGAAGCAAATGGCAGCATAGGTCTTGGACGCAGCAGGAGTCATGTGCACTTTTCGCGCCGGATGCCTTCAGAGCCTTTGTCCAGTGCTGGCGCATCCTTTGCTTCACTCGGAAAACGCAGGGCCTAAGGCCTCGCTGTAAAGAATTTGGCCGGCATGGGCCGGCTAACTCCCAGTGATTTGAGCCACCAGATAGGCCGAGTTGTCCGGGTGAAGTTGCGAAACCCAGGAAAAGCAATTTCTCGCATTTGGCTTCTCATTCTCAGTGGTTCAGTGGCACCCTTTTTCTGTTTCTCCTTTTTTTTGGTGGCCCCACTAGAAATGGCGTTCCCAAAAACAGGGTTCCTTTTTGTCCAGGGGCGCTGAACCACTGAGCATTCTCGGGAAGCGCTCGGGTAACACAGGGGGCAGTCAGTGAAGGAGAAGCCACGTGCTTTATGCTGGGCGATTTTCAAGTCATGGTTTAATACCTGCCTTTGGGTCTGAAAGGGTTGCTTGCTCCTCTTAGTGATTTCCTACCAAAAAACACATATGGATTCTGGGCAGGGTTGTGGGATCAAGGGGTTTCTCCCCACTTCTGTGATACTAGTTGGAATCTTCCCTCTTTTTAATGGTGGATTAGTCTGTGGGAAGCCCATTTCGTCACAGATTCGTGGATTCCATTTCCCACAGCCCTGATTCTGGGTGATGTATTGCCCCACCGATATGTTGCACCTTCTGGCCGGAATCACTGGGATCGATCCCGATAGACGCGAAGTCGGGATCCACTTCGGGCGCATAGACGCCCCTGGACCTCCAAGGGCGAACCAGAACAAAAACTGGGGGGCATGACTGGGGTCATCATTTTGAGGGTTTCTGGGGGGTATCAAAGTCCAACGGGGCCTTTAACCCACCACTTGGGGGGTGACTTTGATCATGGTAAAATAATGAAGTCAGCATGAGCCGCAGAAGTGGAGGTAAAGCGATCAAAAAGTCAACCAGGCAGGTATAGTCCGAGGTCAGCAAGGGGAAATGAACAAACAGGGCAATCAACTCAGAATGAAGAGGCTCAGCCTGTTCCGTGAGGCTCAGTCTATTCCAAAATGGCTAAGTTTAGTTGGGGACCCATTTTTCAGGGCTCCGGAAAAGATAGATACATCTTGCAACCGCCCATTTGAACCATGTTGTTTTTGCAACACCAAAATAAAGTTGGACACCACCATTTACAAGTTGCAATGTTCAGGCGTATAATGTAAGGATCCCTGCTGTACTTGACACCATGTACATCGGAAGAGTGGGTCAACCAGCAGTTGTTGTTTCCGCTTTTCATGTGCTCGCCCTCTCGACGCATGAGAATTGATGTCCACTAGCCGAGGTCGTTCCCATGAAAGTGTGTAGCCAAATGTTTGCCCTGCAAATCGGTGGCCTCGAGTGGGAGGATGAAACCGGAAGTTCATTCGCGCAGACCTCTGCCTTTTGTAGTTTTCTAGGCGGATCGCTCACTTCTTTTTCTCTTTTGGAAACCCTTTTGGTTGCCTTCTTGGTTTTCACCGGCGCCTAGGCTCACTTTGCCTGGTCTAAGTCTAGGCTTATGTTTGCCGGTGTCAAGTCAATGATTCGAGACGGACAGTGTGTGTGTGTGTGTGCCCGTTTGCACTGGAAATGAGTCCCGTAAATACGATGCGCAAAGAGCCCCATGTAAGAAATACACATACTGTACAAATAACGTGGTTGGTGAGTTTTTGTTATAGGCCAGATTGGCCGATGCAATTGGAAGCAAACTTTTAAGATCGACATCCCACCCGAAATCAGTCCCTGTTTCTTTGGCGTCGATCCCCAAAAACGGATTGCCTTGGGTTCATGTCGAGAGAACAGATTGGATGTGGCTTTTGTGGATCCACCCCTGAGGATATTAATGGAGTACTAAGAGATCACTACAAAAGGACCAACAGGGGGAAGACCGGGTGAAATCCACAAGCGGATCCAATGTTCTTCTAGATCATTGGGTGCAGTGGAGCAGTAAACTAGGACTTACCACCTGGCAAACTTCCAGCGCGAAGTAAGCCGAGTCCAGTTGTCAGGCATTGATCCAAGGCACTAAACGCGGGATTGGTGCATTTCTGGGCAAATGAGAAAGGGGTGGTTGCACTCCCCATGAAAGTTCCCAAACAATTCGACTGCAGGTAGCTTTTAACTATATTTGACCCATCTGGATGGTGTTTTTTTGGGAATATAATGGCTACATGGATTGTCTGGGGTGAGGAAATCCTCAAATTCTTAGTTGGGTGTGTAGTGTCTTAGAATCGTTGCACCATGAGTGACTTCCTGAAGTTTTCTTTGCCCCAAGAATACTGAGCTGGTGCCAAGATGAATTATGTTACCTTGTCTGTTCGACCGGCTACGGATGTGGAATGTTGATCAATATCCCGTTCGGCCTCCAAATGATCATGCGAAACTGTTCCCATAAGGAGAAGGCATGTTTGTGTTCCCAAATAGTCGTCCCATGTAAAGACATGTTGATGGGTGGTGTCCCTTTGTTGGCCCTTAAGACCAACCAACGGGGGGTACCCGGTACCGAGTACCCTCAAGAAAAGACACCCAAATAGGATCAAATTGGTGTGCGTCAAATATTGAAGGGGACCCCAGAGAGTTGATCTTCTTTAGGTACCAATCGGGAAATGCTTTGCTGCCGCCCTTTGTGCTCAAAGTATTTACTCAATATAGCCGACAGCCTTCATGGGCTTTAAGCACTGGAGGTTGAAGAGGCAAATCGGACGGATTGCCGTTCTTTTGACGCATTATATTTGTGCATAAGCAATTTGTGGCTTGTGCATTTTATACATGTTTATCCCAGAGCTTAGGTTCGCTAGTGGTGCAGGTTGGCGAGGTTGCTTAAGCAATTTGTGGTTTGTGCATGTTATGCATGTGTATCCCAGAGCGGTTCGCTAGTGGTGCAATGGCCTCTTTGGGAATAGGTCAACTTTGAAACTTCTATTTGCGACAGCTTGTCTGCTTTGCATGTCTGTCTTGTGTTTCGAACCGACAGAGGTGGGCAAGCAGTTGGTTTTGTCTTCAATCTCAGGAACATCATGGTCGCAAGGCTGAAACAAAAAGGAATCGACGGAAGGGCACCACCAGGAGTGGAGCCTGCGGCTTAATTTGACTCAACACGGGGAAACTTACCAGGGCCAGACATAGCAAGGATTGACAGATTGATAGCTCTTTCTTGATTCTATGGGATCCACACTGGGTTTAGTCAATACCCTTTCAAGGCACCGTGAAGCAAAGAACCCGCCCATTTAGGGCTGGACTTGGAAGCAACAAAGAGAAACCAGGAGGCTAGTCATTCGGAGGTGTGCCCTACGATTCATAGGTTTGGCCCTGCAAATGGCTGGCTTCAACTTGGTTTCTCCTTGGACCATCAAATAGGGGGTCCTAATTTTCTGACAATCATTTCGCTTGAAAGCTCATGTTAGTCACTTCAAGGCGTTGTTGATTTCTGCTTGTTGTTGCTATTGCGCAGGGTGAAGCGTGTCTCTTGTCGTTTTCGGGTTGTTGAGGTCATCCTTTGGTAAATGGGATTGACGGCTTGAGGAATCGATCCCATTGTACTTGAGGCATGAGGAGACACTTCCTGAGTCCAGTCCATCTAGAGGGAAAGTACCTGCATTCAGATGTAGGCTTCTTTGAGGAGATTCGCTTTGCCCATCCATGCTCCCCGTTTCCTTTCCCGTACATGTACCTTTGAAAACTCAGCCGTTTCTTTTCAAGAGTCTCTCTGCAGGAGACCAGGAGGACCCCCTTTTCAACTTGCGTCCGAGTTAGCTAAGCCATTTGCGCATCCCCTGGGTTGTCACAAATTCATGCGCATTCTGCGCATTCTCACTTGTTGGTTCTGCATAGAGGCATTGCAAACTGTTTGGGGGGTGTCCAAAGGACTTGGAGCGCTCTGAAGAGAGCTTAATTACATCCGCAGTTCAATTCTGCACCATTTCTAGAAATACCTTCCATGTCCATTCTTTCCAGGGATCCGGCTTCTTTCTAGAAAACCTCCGGAAAGCCAGGGAAAACGGATCCGGCTTTTGGAAAGAACGATGGTTGAAAAGAATGGGGAATCAACCCTTAGAACCATGCTATTTGCGAGCCCCATGATTCCCGCCGCTCCTTTTTTTGTTTAGCGCCGCCCTTCTTCGGTGAGGCGCTCATGGGTTCCGGAGCTTCCAAGTCTCTTTGCAAGACGGGCATCAAAGAGGTCCGACTAGATGAGTCCATCACCAAGAGGTTCATGCAACTCAACCAGCACGGGAAGGTACAAGCGGAGCTCCCTGGATGCAAGCGGATGGAAGTGATCCCGTCAAAAAATCGTTTTCCCTGGCGGTCCTTGCCCCCATTAAAAGAATGGGTAAGGACCCAATTTGGATGAGAATCCTTAAGTTAGGTCAATAACGGTGTTGAAGCCCATTGTGTTAATTGTGGTTTGAACCCCAGGGTATTGATTGGGGACCCGGACCCGATCAAAGGGTTCCCTCTTGCTAGGCGTACTGGGCAACTGGAATCAGCAATTTGGGAAACCCCAATCATTGCTTTGGGTACGAAACGCAGAAGAAAGATCCGAAGAAAATTTGCGTGTTATGCTCTACCGCTATTGGGTTGGATCTTTAGACTTTAACTTTTTGGATTCCCCTCATTTTTTCTGTTAACCATCAAACAGTTAAACTTTTGCTTGGGGGATCTACAGCACCCAAGTATGGGAGCGCTGAAAGAATGGGGCCCAACATGTAAGCCAGTGTTTGGTTGCTTCGTTGGCCAACCTTAGGTTGCCTCCAATTGGGGCAACAGTACAGGAGCTTGCATGAGCATATGCATTTGAACTTCACATGAATGATCAGGTAGTCACGATCAGTTCACGCAGCTGGAGAAGCGCAATCGGCTACTCATTTCATACTTAAAAGTTGCAGCTTTCAAGCCGCAGCAGGGAGCGCGCGCTTCGCATGCTAGATTCCCGAAGTGTCATATGGAACCACCTCAACAGCGGTTGGTTGACATGACTTTTCGTCTGAATCGTGTCCACCAAAGGGTCGCTATCTAAAACAGGGGGGGGGGAATGTATTTAATACATTTTCCACGTTTGCCGCCCCAAGAGTCTTAAGCGCTTTGCCAAGGCTGAGAACCTAAGAAAGCGATATACAGTCACAGCCTTTTGGAAGGTAGGCACAATTGTAGGTAGACAGAAGCAAATGGTTGCAAATGGACCTGGAAAGGTCCGCGAGTTTGCGGCTCAGTGTTGGAATGCTTTCAAATTAGGTGTTGCGCGATTCTAGAGGCCCATGTGCCAGCAATCCGCATCACGCATTCCGGCAGCAGCCCGAGAACGGGCTTTGCCAAAAACATGTCCTAGAACTCGTACGGAGTGTTGAAGTGGGCATGTAGTACGGCATGTAGCTGAGCAAGCTCCATCTTGTGCTGCCAGGGCCTGATGGAGGCGATGGTGTCCGATTCCTTGATTGTGAGACTCTTCTGCTGCTCAACAGGCGCTGATTTTTGCGCGGACCACGTGGACAAAGCCCAGGGACATATCCGCCAACTTTGTCAAGGTTGCTTCAAGTGGCTGGCCCTGGCCTACTTCAACACCCACTACAATTGTCTCTCAAATTAGGCCCCCCCCCACCGGCGTTCAACAGCTCTAGCTCCTGCATCGCACACGTGTAAAAGCACGCGCCTCCGAGAGGGCCCAAGATTTGAAAGTGTGATGAGGGTCAAACTTCCAGCTCGCTTCGAAGTCAACACTGGGATTGCTTCGGGGGAAGCACTGCGCGCCTTGTTTGGAAGCTTGTCAGTCTTGCTGACGCCACCGTCTTCTGGGGCATCGTGTCGCTCACCTCGGTCTCTTCTTTGAGAAGTAAGTGCCAAGAAGTCAGCTGTACAGACGCGGACCCTATCTACTTGCTAAGTGGTTACGACCGCCGCTCGTATAGGGCTTGCTGCATTTTGCTTTGAGTAGGGCCGCCCTGAAGACAAAGTACGTGTTTTCACTGCTTTCAAGTGACGCTGAAGCAACGCACTGCCGGATATGAGCCCTAGGAAGCATTCGTTCGAAAGAGTAGTGGTGTTTAGTTTCCTAGCTCAAGCAAGCGCATCGTCGCAGCGCCATGCTGAAGGGCACGAGCTTTGCGCCGTAAGCGAGGCGCAACAGAACTCAGCTGGGCCCCTGTGATCACTTCCTGCTCCGGCCAAGGTTCAAGTCGATCCACACCACCCCGTGGCGATCGTCGGTTCTGAGATACATGGAGCCCTCACTAAGCATGCAAAATCCTAGCAAACAAGCTGGTTTACCCAGAGCAATCGGAGCAATGCGTTGCTATCCACTACGTCAGACCGATAGCCGCAGGCTTTCGAAAATTCCAGCAGGGGAGTGCTGACGAGAAAGCCTGTGTGGGAGAGAGCTAGCTGATTGAGCAGTCCCAGCGTTTCCCACATCATTGCAAGCGGGGCCGAGCTGCGATTTAGATACATTCGTTGCAAAGAAGGCCGCCGGCATCGCGAGGAACTAGCTGAAATGGAAGGGCGACGAGTGTCGGATTCGTTGCTGTCCGGATCACAGAGGTGTGAGAAGTCGGGATCACAGAGGTGTGAGAACATCGAACCGGGGCAGGGGTGCCTCTAAATATTTTGAGCAGAGCAAACAGATAGCAAGCAGCGCGCCTTAGCGTATGCACTCATTGTGCTCCAGGGATTCGCGAGGCTGTTGATGCCAGTGTGTGGATCGAGTCCGCGCGACAAATTTGCTAATTCGTCAGAGCGAAAATCAGCTAGACTTCATTGCTGGTAATGCGAATTAGCTGTACTTCGCCAGAGCGAATCTCAGCGTCTCAGCTAGACTTTATTGCTGGTAATGCTGGTGATGCTGGCGATGCCGGTGATGCACTCCGTAGATCGAGGCGACGGGTGTCCGCGCGACGAATTAACTAATTCGTCAGAGCGAAAATCAGCTAGACGTCATTGCTGGTAATGCTGGCGATGCCGGTGACGCACTCCGAAGATGAAGGCGACACGGCGACAGGTGTCCGTGCGACGAATTAGCTAATTCGTCAGAGCGAGAATCAGCTAGGCGTCATTGCTGGTGATGCTGGCGATGCCAGTGATGCCGTCTGTAGATCGAAATGACGGGCGTCCGTGCGACGAATCAAGTAATTCGACAGAGCAAATACGCTGCTTGGTGTAGGTATCAGATGCTGCCACTGCGCCGCTCCCACGAGTCCTGGAATGCCTTGGCTAGTTCCCAGCCCCAAGCGTTTTCAGGGGTCACTTGTTCTTACGCCCGGCGGGCATAAGAACAAGTGGGGGCCAACCGGAACAAGTGACCTGGTCACTTGTTCGCTAAAGTGCCTACTTGTTCTTAAGCCCGCCGGGCGTAAGAACAAGTGACCCCTGACGCAACAATGGCTTTAGCCGCGAAAAAAAGGCAGCCACTGACAAAACACAAATTAGAAACTCTGTTGCAGAACGCCCAAATCACAAAAAATGCAGCCCGACCAAGCACGCCAGTGACAGGCCCAGGAAAAACTGTACAACAAATTGGCACCCACACACAACAACCAAATTAGAAGCCCTAGTTGAAAAAGCCCACTTCACGAGAATCATCAGCCAGACCAGTAGCCAGTGCCAGGCCTTGAAAAAATCCAGCTGCACAAAATGCACGGCGAACAAAATAGAATCTTTACATAAAAACCAACTTCACGAAAATGATCAGCCCGACAAGTAGTCCTTTGTAGCCACCCGTGTAGGTTTACATTTCAGCGCCCGGTCGCAAAGGAAACTGTGCGTGCTGTCGCGCCCCGACCCTGCCAGCAGTCGGGCCCCGACCCCGCCAGCAGTCGGGCCCCGACCCCGCCAGCAGTCGGGCCCCGACCCCGCCAGCCGACCTTTTCCTGAAGCAGGATGTTTTGAGTAGCACTTCTAATTTGCATGTTGTCTGTGTTACCGCCTTTCTTTGTCCAGCTGGATATTTGTCAGGGCCTGTCACTGGCCTACTTGTTGGGCTGATGATTTTCGTGAAGTTGGTTTTTTCTCCAACAGCTGAAAGCTTTGGGGTCTCAGCCCAGATAGGCTCCGGGGTGGTCCCGGACGGCCCTGAGGTGAGGTTCCGCGAGCGTTCCACCAAGGTCCAATGACGTTCCATCAGGGTTCCACGAGGTTCTGCGAGGGGTGCGGGGTGGTGCGCGCACTAAAAAGAGCACCGCATGCTGTTGGGGATGTCACCTGAGCTTATTTTTCAGGTAGAGCGACTGTTTTGAATTTGTTCACCGTCTATTTTTGGCAGCTGGATTGTTTTCAGGGCCTGGCACTGGCCTACTTGTCTGGCTGATGATTCTCGTGAAGTGGGAGTTTTTAGCAGAGCTTCTAATTAGTTTTTTGTGTGGGGTTGCCGCCCTTTTTTTTTTTGCGTAGCTGGATTTTTGTCAGGGCCTGTCACTGGCCATCAAAAAACAAGACACGTTTCAATCATGTTCCTTAGTCTCCTGCTCCCGTGCTCTTCTGGTCTCTTGTTTTTTTGCAAGTGGGATGTCTTCGCCGGGCTTCTGGTTTGTTGTGTGGCTGCCGCCCTTTTTTGCGCGGCTTGATTTTTTACAGGGCTGTCACTGGGCTGCTTGGTCGGGCTGCTGCTTTTCGTCAAGGTAGAGCTTCTAATTCGCTTGTGTGTGGCTGCCTTTCTTTTGTGCAGATTGATGTTGTTCAGGGCCTGTGGTCGGGCCCCAACTCCGTCGGCGGTCGGGCCCCGACCCCGCCGGCGGTCGGGCCCCGACCGCGTCGCCGGTCGGGCCCCGACCCCGTCCCCGGTCGGGCCCCGACCCTGCCGGCGGTCGGGCCCCGACCCCGTCGCCGGTCGGGCCATGACCCCCTCGGCGGTCGCCCCTTCAATGGTTCTAATTTGCTTTGTAGCTGCCGCCGTGTTTTTGCAGCTAGCTTTTGTTTGGGGCCTGTCACTGGCCCGGGCTGATGCTTTTCGTGAAATGTGATGCTTTTAGTAGGGCTTCCAATTTGCTTGTTGTGTGTGGCTGCCTTTTTTGCGAAGTTGTTTTTCAGGGCCTGCTAGTTGTTTGCTTGGTCGGGGCTGCTGCTCTTCGTCAAGTAGGATGTTTTTAGTGGGGCTTCTGGATTTTTTGTGCGCGGCTTGTTTTCAGGTCCTGTCACTGGTCTGCTTGTTCGGGCAGCTGTTTTTTTGTCAACTGTTTGTTGGCAAGTAGAGCCTCTAATTTGTTTGTTGTGTTTCGCTGCGCTTTGTGTTTTTGCAGTTTGTTTTTGTTTCGGGTTGTCACTAACCCACTTGATTGTTTCTTGATTGTTTTTTTTTTTGCGCGGTTATATTTGGCCGTTTACTAGTCTGCTTGGTCGGGCTGCTGCTTTCTTAATGATTTTTGCGTAGGGTGTCTAATTTGCTTGTTGTGTGTGGCTGCCGTTTTGTTGCGCTAGCTGTGTTTTTTTCAGGCCCTAGCGTGGCCGGCTGGGTCGGCCTGCTGCTTTTGTAGGGTTTGTAATTTTTCTTTTTGTGTGTGGCCCTTGTTTTTTTGCGAAGCTTGTTTCTTTCAGGGCCTACTTGTCGGGCTGATCACTTGCGTGAAGTGGGGCGTCTTTCAGGAGGGCTCCTAATTTGCTTGTTGTGTGTGGGCGCCGTTTCTTTTGCGCAGCTGGAGTTTTTCAGGGTCTGCCATGGGCCTGCTTGGCTTTGGTCTCTTGCTGATGTTTGGGGCAAAACCCAGCAAAAGCGGATTTTTATGTATATTGGGGGGGGGTGCGGTAGGATTGTGGTCGCAGCTTAAATGTATATGTGGGGGTCCCCCCTCCCCCCTACATAGGGGTCCCTCGGTGATACAAGGGCATCCCCCTTTATATGAAGAAACTAGTCTTTGGGAAGCCCTTTCTGTTGTACAGAAGTGGATTCCATTCCCCACAGCCCTGATCTAAAACGATTGCCTCTGTTGACCTTCGAAGGGCCGCCTTTCTGTAAGCTGACGAAAGGTCAGAGAGGCCGAGGCCGAGGCCAGTGCGAAACCCAGATGTAATACATGTCTTCACTGTTCTTGGCGTGTTTTTTGGTTTTTTAGTTTTTTGGTTCTGTTCATTTTTACCGGGGGTCTGCAAAAAGCAAAGTCTTTTGCTACCATACCAAGAGTAGAGATGACATGGCAAGCGATGATCAACCGCCGCCCTTGGGCGTTCCCAGGGCGACCATTTCGCATCCCCACATGTCACCTTGCCAAAACTGCGCGGAGCCCCACTTCCGGCCAATGGAAGGAGGGCGACCCGAAGTCCATAGATGTTCCTTTGAAGTCAGGTGAGCCACGTGCTCAACACCGATTCGGGGATTGATGAAGGTTAAGGGACAATCCCAACCATAGCGGCCGGTTTTGTGAACTTTTTACATGGTTCTGGGTCGACCATTTTAATACCGGGTTTTGATTATGACTCAGGTGAGACGCAGAGAAAAACTAGCACAGGGGTTTCGTTTTGGTTAGTGCTTGGGTTTTGCAGATGGGTATCCGTCTAGGATTCTCCCCCGCAGAGGGAGACCAAGGGTTATGGGCCCTCAGTTCGCGTGAGGCCCTGTCACCCAACTCCTGAATGTCTGTTTTTGGTGATTTAGAGAGTTGGAGTTGCCACCATGAAAACAATGGTTGGGGTGTGTATAACCACCATTATCTACCTAAGGATTTTGATTATCCAAATTGGGTCCTTGCCATTTGTTTAAGGGGTTGAACCCCAACTTCTGCTGAACCGCAACTTGCCAAAATGAGGTACGTTTGGATCGACTCGGACTTCTGGGATGGTCAAAGCTTCGACCTCTGCTGCAAGACTCTCACGCTACCCGATGCCCCCATGTCCCTAGACGAGATCCCCATTTGGACCTACTCCGGAGATGCGCCGCGGCAGGTGGTTGTTTTCTGTTTGTGCTCCCAGGAGTGTTTTTTGTTTGGATTAATTTCATAGCCATTCATAGCCTGGAATAATTTTGAGAATATTTTTGGTTGTTGGCGCCATCACCTGGCGATCTTTCTGCGGTTCAATGCTTGGTTGATCCCACATTGCGCTAGCTGGGCCCTGGCAATTTCTCTCGTCTTTGAAGCCCCAGGCATGGGGCGCAGACCCCCGGGAAATCGCGGTGCGTCCGGGTGTCTGAAGCGAATCGACCTTTTGACCTTTTGGTTTTCCCATTCTGGGTGCCCATTTGCTTCATGACCCCAAAAGGTGATCACCTTGCTTTTCTGGGTCCCCTTTGGGGACATTGGAGGGAAACATCCAGGCGTTTTTTAGTCTTTGGTCGCTTGAACCTCAAGTGATGATCTCGTTTGAATGGAAGCCACCTGTCAATTGATCAAATTTTGATTCGGGGACAGCCGGAGACTTCTGTACAAACCTTCAGCAAGCCGAAGATAGCTCTGAAGAACAATTCCTTTTGGCGTGTGTATTTCATTCAGATGCAGAAAGGAAGCCACACTGACAAAAGGGGTTCCACTAGTTTGACACATCCCCTTTTTGGGAGCAAGGTACCCTTAGTGGATTGGAATAAGGGAAACCAAAGGAAACCACCACTGGCCCCCAAGATTTATATCACAGTTTCCCCACAAAGTCGCAGATTGCAGGGAAACAACCTTACACACGAGATGTACCATGGCAAGTCGAGCGGTACAATCGGCTCTCGGCCGAATTGTCAAAGTTTGAGCTACGTGTCAAAGTAGGGGGTCCCTATTGCAGGCGATGTTTCTACACGTTGCCAATGTTGAACGCACCTTTTTGTCGAGGACTCCCTGGTTATGATACACATGCCCGGTATCGCTCAAGACGCAAGTCGCGTTTTGTCGTGACTTCACCTAGGTCCCCGAGTAGTGCCCTTTTACCCTTTTTGGGGGGAGGGTTCCCGTACTAAAATAGACTACAGAGAAAAGTTGGTACCCTTATTCTAACCTCTCCACTGGAGGACCTAGTCACATTCTGAGACTTCCAGTGGGTTGCCGCCTCTTCGTTCGTTTTGTTGCAGACGGTTTCCCATCAACCACCCAAAAAGCAGGTGCCATTGGCCATACAAATTCCGGCATTTCCAGCAGAATCGCGCATGCTGACGGAGTTGTTGCATGCAAATACACCTGCCTGGCAGTAATTCAAAATATACATGCCAGCCCCTCAACTGATCAAGTCGATGAAAATCAGTATGGTCCTTGGGTTCAAATGATTTGTTGCAAGCTGATCCGAAGAGCCCTTGCACAGCAGGCGGTTTTGGATGTATCCACTAAGCAACCCTGGATGCGTTGTTTCATTCCAGGATGGGTTCTTTGGCAGGAAGCCTCAGGCACAAAAGTCTCGTCTCCTTAAGGATGCGAAGGATATCGTGATTGTGCCCCGGAGAACCTACCGCGACCCGTTCCGTCCTGGGGACAATATCATTGTGCTGGCGGACACTTATGAGGACCGAGACAACACCATGACTTGCTGGATCTCAGGGAAACTTTGGTGCATTTTGCTTGGCTGTTAGGACTTTAACTTTTTGCCAACTAATGGGTTTTCCGCTAAACCACTAAAAGTTATTCACTTTTAGCCGGGCTTCGCAGATTTCGAAACCCAGGAACGAGGGAACGAACCCCAAAAGCCATCCCTTGTTAGGTTCCTTCCGAAACCTTGGGGCATTCTGAAGATGAAAAGATGAACCTGGCGTTCTTTAAGGAGCTTCTCCAGCTTCAGCACCTTGAGGTGAGGTCGTGTCGTTCTTTTCCACTTCTTAGATCTCCATGTTGCAACCATTTGGCTTTCTGCCACCAAAATAAAGGGACACCACCATTTACAAGTTGCAATGTTCAGGTGTATGTGTGCTCGTTCTTTTCCTGGTGGAGTTTCTGTTTGTACCGGATGGAATCCTTCTCTTAGGAAAGCACATGCCTGCCCAGTTGCGTGTTCTTTTGGGGTGTATTCCTGTAAACCAAGAAAGCCCAGTGCTTCCAGTAGCCACTATACTAGGCAACCAGGGTTCCTCACCTCCAGCTTTTACATGTTGGTTTCCCCTGATTACTTGCTATAGTGGCAACTGGAAGCACTGGGAAAGTTATTTTTAAATCAATAGCGGGCATAGACAATGTGTTGAGCCCTTTGTTCCAGAACTTGGTCAGATTTCCTCAGTTTAATCGTTCCTTATATACACACAAATGGGTGTGTCATTTTTGCGGGGGGCCCCCGGCTCCAAAAACAGAAAGCTATGCGTTGTCCTTTTGGTTTCCCTTAAACAACCACGAGCAAAGAGTACCGTCAGGAAAACAACACACACAAATGGTGATATGTCCTACAATCTAGTCAACCCCCCTTCACCAAATCTATTTTCCCAGCCGAATCGAGAAGGTCATCCCAGGCGACATGGTTGTTGTTGGGAAACATTTTGCATGTTTGCTTATTGTGGTTTGGTGGTTGAAATCCAACCACTTAACTGCTAAAAAAAATGCTGCTCCCCTTCCAACGTCAACCAAGGCGACGCGTTGCTTTGCCCGCCATGAGGAGCCCAGTGGAGAGGAAAGGGACCACGGGCGCCCCACCAAATTCAACACTCGCGCCGCGTGCCAAGCGGTGGCTCGGCATGGAAGCTGGTGCCATGCGGACGTCTCACTTCTGTTTTGAGGGATCTCGTTTTTTTGGTTGGGGACACCAACAACAGGGTTCCCGTTTTTAAGGTTCCCGTTTGTTTTAGGATTTCCTTTTTTTGGGGTTCCCGCTTTTAGGGTTCCCGTTTTTCAAGGGGTACTAACAGGACATTTGGGGTCTCTTTAAAAAAAGGACACACCAAGTTATGTCGTTGGTGCCATGGTATCCCTGCGGCCTATGAATGGAGGGTACCCCCAATAAACGAGCCATTCCCCATGTTCCCTTTGCCAGAGAATTCATGTATGGAGGGAGGGGGTGCGACGTTTTTCGCCGTTCGGGTTGGGATAGCGCGGACCATTTTACTGGAGGTCGGTAGGGATGGTCATGAACTTTTCACGGAAGTTGGAACGCCAACGTGGGTTGCTCGTCGGTATTTGGGCCTCGGACCCCCAAGATGGCTTCGGCTTTTGTTTTTTTCTCTTCAAAACCACTTTAGGGCCTTTGTAACTTGCGGTGATCCGGGACCGAGAGAACCAAGTTGCGAAGCCCTTGGACTTGAAAGCTCTCGGGGTCCCGGACTTAGCTTCAAGCAGAAGCTCGTTGCAAGCTATGGACTATGGATGTGTTTCCTTGAAACGCTAGGGTTCCAGACGCCCCCATGAAAACAAAGGTTTACCCAAGTTGGATGAGGACAATCCTGAGGCAAAACAATTGTGGTTGTATGAGCCCCCATCGTTTTAATGGTGGTTTGGATCCCAGAGAAAAGAGACCCCTGTTGTTGGCAACCAGACTCCTTGCCTGCCAGGTTTTACAACATGGTTTCCCTGGTAATCTACCTAGTGGGTATTTCTTGGCAACGACGTTTTCATTCAACAGATCTGGACCCAAACTGCAATGGATGAATACCTTGGTGTTTTTGAGACACGGACAGTACCCGTTTTGGGGTCTCAGGGGAAGCCAAGAGGAAACCAGCGTCTCTTTTGTTGGGGGGGAGGGGTGGTTCCCCCCCAAAAAAAACAAGCTTCCCCTATTGATGTCCTTCAAACCCACCAAACGGGTATCCTCAGAAACGGACCCATAGGAAGTGTCAAAGAACCCTTAAGAAGGATGCCTGATTGTTTGCATTTGTTGCTCATGTCCGAATCCGAGCCCAGGCGATGCAAGAGTCTGAAGATATTGGGGAGGAGCCGGGCACATGATGTAAGAATCAAGGATGAAACCTGACCTTTGGTTCGCAAGTATCAAAGGTTAATGGCAAAGGTCCAACGTGAACCCCTAGTATGCACCCCTATTTGATGGGTTGAGCAACCGTTAGTTTTGGCTCAATTATGTATGCGAAATCAGCCCCCGCGCTTACCGGTTCTACATAGATGTTTTGGGGACTTTGACAATCCTTTTTCGGCCCAGGTACAGCAGACATGACACATCCGCAGCATAAGCACTTTATAACAGCAAGGATCGGTTGGGTGACACCATATGGTGCTCAGCGATTCATTCACGCTGAGCTGGCTGTTTTCCACTCACTCCGCACTTGCCCAAAGCCGGCCCGTTGCTGGGATCTATTTTGACAAAGTACATATTAGGTTCACTGAATATTGACCAGGGTCAGACACATAGGTGTCCTTTTTGGCTGATTTGGTTGAAACATAGAGGGTTCTGGTGTACCTGGTGGTTCAATCAGCTACCAGGGCCATCTATTTTCCCAAAAAGGACACCTATGGTCGAACATCTTCTGTTCAGCGGCGAGCCAAAGCTGGAGAAGTTTGCGTGTTTCTGCGGTTCTACACTGCTTTTGGCAGCTTTGCCCACATGAACCCACGCCAGACCTGTTGCCTGTTATTCTAGGGCTACCTTCCCCATTCCTTCCAGGGATCCTTCCTTTCAGGAAACCATCAAAAATCCCAGGGAAACAGCTGGTTTCTGACAAGAACGATGGTTGAAAAGAATGTGGAATCAACCCCTAGAGTTGTGGGGTCGTCAGGCACAGCCCTATGTTTGGCTTATGTTGCTTGTTCTCAGCAGGAAATATGGGACTGAGCTAAGCCTTGTCTCACCACGCTCCACCGCTGCAAACATGCCTTTTATCTCAACATGCATGAGGGTCTTCACTACCGCCAAACCACCACCCGTGACCATTCATGGAATTGTTTGTATTTACGGCTCTTTGAATATCTCCCCGAAGAAAGTCAGAAAGGCTTTGGGTATCTCCCTGAAACATTTGCTGCAATTCCCTGGGTTTCTCAGATGTAAGTTTCGCAACATAAACCCCCTGTTGCTTGGTAGTTACTTGGGACACGAAAAGGAAACCGAAGGTTTAGGGGACGACTTCCTATTTTGAGAAGCTCCCAGAGGTTTTTGCTCATCTCTCGCGACCAGGACCCGTGGTTCGGCTTTGAGCAGGAGTACTACCTGCTGGACCCCAGTACCGACTGGCCCTTGGGGTGGCCTAAGGGCAAATACCCGCACAAGGACACCGCGCCTAGGATAGAAACACACTTTGGCGCATTTTGCTTGGATGTTAGGACTTTAACTTTTTGCCAACAGATGGGTTTTCCATCAAACCACTAAAAGTTAAGCTTTTAGCCGGAGAGCAGAAAGCAACCGAGCACAGCCTGGCTGGTTGGCAGGGAGCAATTTCGGAGCTGCCGGGAGTTCTGTAAGCATCCGAACCCAGAGGAGCCGACGTTTGGGCAGAGACCCGAAGTTTTCGAACCAGAAAGCCACGACTAGTCAAAGGGGTGTTCCCCTCCAAAAGTGAATCCCCACGAAAGGGGACACCCCACCTATCAGCCAACCCCACCTATCAGCCAGGGCCTGAATGCACCCGGGGTGCGGGGTGAGGAATGCGGGAGAACCATAGCTTGTAGGAGGTGCCGGAGGTACCTACTTGGCATCCTGACAAACCCAGGTAGTAGGAAAGTGTCAAACATAGTATGTGCCGCAAACGTTGTTGGGTGTGTCTTTCTTCAAAAGCTCTCCTTTTGATATGAAACCTGACAAACCCCCGTTTGGGGGGGGGGGAACCCCTTTTTGCGGCTTCATTCCAAAATTGGGAGAAACCTCCCCCCCCCCCCAAACCTCCCGAACCCCGCCGCGCCAAACCCCGGCCTTCGAGCCGAGGCGTTCTACTGCGCGGTGGGATCCACAAAGGCGGTGGCACGGGAGCTGATCGAGGCGCACTACCGCGCCTGCCTCTACGCCGGGGTCATGATCGGCGGCATCAACTCCGAGGTGCGTCTTCGTCTTCGCATTTTCGCAATTTCGCGGTTCCACGTCGGATTTTCCCCCGTGGGATTTGGGATATGTTTTGCACTGTGGGAGGTGCTTGGCGGGGTGCTTGTTTCGGGCAACAAAACATGCACCCATACTCCGAAAATTTGGGGGTTGAAGTTTTGGGAGGCGATTCAGGGTGTTCATCACACCCACCCCATATCCCTCCTCCGGTTTGTTTTAGTGTTTGTTTGTGGTAAAATATTTTACCAGGTTGGCACTTCTTTCTTTTTTTGCACCCAACCTGTTCGTTGTTTTTTGGTTCAGGGAAGGCCCAAACAGTTCAAAGCTTAGGTTCCATGTGGAGAATCATGTTGAAACGGGTGGCTGCATCCTGGCGGTTGGCCCCAATGCCGGAAGCCTTTGGAGGTACAGGGACCGGCGCAAGATCTTGCGGGAGTTAAGAGTTAGGGAGTTAGGGACTCAGGGGATCTCAGTGCTTGCAGTGACCAGTCGAATGTTGACCCCCCCCCCCAAAAAAAAAACGGTCTATTAATAGGTGGGTGTCCGATTCCAGGTGAATTGTGGGGAATCATCGTTTTTGGAGAAAAAGAACACACCCTATTCATAAAGTGGATTTGATTGTTATGGGGCCAACATTCGTAGGCAACCTAGCCTCACTTCCAACGAGTTGGACCTTAAACCTGCTGGGTCTGGACCATTTTGGCAAATAAAAGGTTTGGACCTTTTTGAGCCAGTTTTCTCAGCATGTTGGTGAGGTTTTTTGAGGGGGAATGTAGGGAGCCCTGTCCAAATCATCTCCGATTCGCCGGCGCGTTCCTTTGGCTCCATACATGGTTGTTGTTGGGAAACATTTGGCTGTGGCTCAAAAAACCGGTAGCAAAATGGAACCCTGGTAAGTGGAAACATGGACTATGCCTGGCCTTGAAGCACTGGGAGCAACCACCAATAAATTCACTCAAACATAGACTATTTGACACACAAAGCATCGCATATGACACAACACCCCACACCTTCATGGCCCCTTGCTCTCCTTTCTCACACACTTCCCGCATCCATCAAGACTTCTTCCCAAATTGACATGTGTTCTTCTTCAAGCTGGAAGAAGTTCTCCAAGTGCAATGTGTCTGAAGTTTGCTTGTTCTCAGACATTTGTCTTTTTTCCCCAATCCAGTCTTGACATCTATTAAACTGTGACAAAGTGAGACTTGCAACATCCTCTGAAAGTGCCACCAAATGCTGCCAACATCAAACGAAAAGAACAAATGTTTTCTTAAAGGCTGACTTTTTCTGCTTCTTTAAATCCAGCACACTCTTTCTTGCTGGAAGAAATTCTAATTTGAGAAAGCGAATTTCCAAAGGACTGCAATGTGTTTTGCTGTTCTTGAACACTTGTCACTTTGTTCAAACTCTTTGACAATTTGTGAAATCTTTCTGTCTGGAAACCAGTCATGCAAAGGACAAGGCACCACTTGCTGCTTCTCAACCAACTGGAATGGAATGAAAGAAAATGAAAGAAAGAAAGGCAAGAGGAAGAACAGAGGAAAAAAGATCCTTACGGATCTATTTGCAAGAATCCGCACACAGTTCCCTATACCCTCCTTGGCTTACATGGCCTTGCCAATTTCTGGCTGACCTTGCCTCTGCCAAATTTAACTGCTCAAACATAGATACAGGAACCTAGCATATTTACCGCTAGGTTTCAATGTGGGTCACTGATAAATAACGGCTGCTCCCTCCAAGCAAATTACAACTATAGTGGTAACTGGAGCGCTTGGAATCATTACTAGTCGTTTGCTCTTATAGGCATGACAAAAGTCGGCTTAAACCCATCCCAAAAACCCTATTCCAGTAGCTGTGTTTTCTACCAGACGGGGGAATTCTGGTTTCGACAAACCGTACCTTCTGCTGGGTTCTTAAGTTGGCTCCTAGTAGCTCCGGGAAGAATCCACCCGGTTTGGATGGTTCTTTGCTGACCTAGACTTGCTGGTGCTCAGTAGGGGATGTGGGAATGAACCCAGGTTTTGGTCCCACCACCAGTTGGATGGTTTATAAGGGTCATTCCAATTCTTATTCTTTGCATCTCTCGCACCGGCAAGTTCCATTCGAAACCAAAGGAAGTCCGCCATTTTCCAGTCGACATGCGTCTCACTGAAAAAAGAAGAAGAACAAACAGTGGGTGAAATTCCCGGAAAACTTCCAGTTTCACGGTGGGCTGGCCGCTTGGCTGAGCTGACTTCGCGTGTTTTCCTCGCTTCAAACGTTCGCCCCTCACCAGGTGGCCCCAGCGCAGTGGGAGTTTCAGGTGGGCCCCGCCTCCGGCACGCGCCTCGCGCGCGCAGTTTTGGCTTCCCTGTTCTTGGTGGTTCCCGAAGGCCATCCGGTTCAACTTAGCTTTTTAGCCGGGGATCCAGTTTTTTTTTTAAGCGTTTTGGCTCCTTTTTTTTGTTTGCTTTTTAGCCTTTTCACTAGTGTTGAGTGGTTGGATTTCCGATTTTAAGCCACTAACAGTTATTCACTTTTAGCCGGGGATCTGAGGACAGCCCAGGGTTGGCACGCGAAGTTGTACTGGTGAGATGGGTAGGCAACGAGCTCGGTGAAATAGAACGAGATACAACCGAGTTGAACCCAAATGGTTTATGTGGCTCAGTTGTTCAGCGGCACCCATTCTTTTCCCCCTTTGTTTTGGTGGCAAAGAATCCACAAAAAATGGTCCAAGCCCCAAAAAGGGGTCCAATTCGTTATTTTCCAGGGTCACTGAACAACTGAGAAGGAGTTGCGCTGGTGGTGAGATACTGTGGATGGTTGCGAAATCCTCTTAGGCACGACGAAATGAAAGCATAGGGAAGACATAACGTTTGCTGGTATTTACAGGGGACACATTGTTGCAGGGTTTCCTGGGTGGTGTGGGATTTCGTCCATCCACAGTAGGTAGGCAATGACCGAGTCCAGGCGTGGTGGGAATAAACTGTTTTGGGAACCGTTTCCCGAAATTCAGGAAGCGTTTCCAGGGCATGGAATTTATAGTAACTCATTAACTCATTCTCCCTCACACCCTGTCTATCGAACTAGCAAAGGGGTCATTCCCCTCATACCCTGCCTATCGAAGTGGCAAGGCGGTTTGCGGTTCTTGCCACCGTAATCGGATGGTCACCCCATGCCATGGACCCAAAAGGACACCCACCCTGAGATGAGCGTAACTTTTGGAGAAACACCCATGTTGTTCTTGGGCGCAATGCTGACCCCAGATTCTTCCTGGGGATTAAACTTTTGGGGTCCGAACAGTGGTACATGGAACACCCTAAGCCACTGGGGGCTCCCATGTGGGATTCGAAGAGGGATTTTGCGCTGGCCACGGGGTATGCTTTGAGGCATCTACAAAGGGAGTCCCTAATAATTCAAGAACATGAGGGGTGTGTCCCCCTTTCTGATGGGGAGTCATCACTTGTGACAGGACGGTTTTCTTCACCCGGGGTCAAAAACATAGAGCCCGATGCATCTTCTGTTGTCCAAATCATAGTAGAGACACCTGACCTCCCTTGCAACGGGGAGCTGGATGTGTATTTGTTTGAGAGGCAGCCCATTGAGCCAGTGGTTGGGTTAAGAGAAGCCAAACAGACACCCACCAGGTCCGAGACCTTAGGGGCGACCTTCAAAGTGAGCCATGAAACGAATTGACAGGTTTGGAAGGTGGTTGGGTCTCCAATTTTGAGACATGACACGTCCCCCACAATTGTACCGGGTGGCAACAGGGAATATCAAATGGGCGTCTCATTTTTTTTGGGGAACCCCCTGTTGGCTGGCTTAGAAAGCCAAGAGGAAACTAATCATAGGGGCCGACAAACCCGGGATTTCTGTGACCCTCCAGAATTCACTAGGTGGACATAAAATTCTAGGTAAGCCAGGGTCATTATTTTCTTGTCCTGGCACATGTTTCAGAAATCGCGTATTTGTCCGCCGGTGTTTAGTGCCATGTTCTGAGAAAGATCTCTGAAGCGAGACACATTCCCACACGCTCTACTCATACCATACCCATCCAAATTCGACTAAAGAACTCGCCCCATCAACCCGTAGCCCAGCATAAGCTAGCAAGCCACAACCACCCCAAAGAAGCCCTAACCCAGCATGACATATTCTGGCCCCAGCCCCTTGGAACTCATGCCCGCTTTCTATAGGATGTTTCCCCCTTCCTGTCGGCAGCCCTTGCCAGCCCTCAAGATGCAGGGCCCAATGCAAAATGCCAAGGGACATTCAGATCCTCGGTTTCCACTACTCGCGTATAAGCCTTGAGCGAGCCACGAGCGTGCGAAAGGCCACGGCCGCCCATGATCAGTTCAACATGAGCATGACGCCAATTGAATCCTCCGTGAACCAGGAAGACCGGGCTTCCATTTCCACTCTTCGTGCACCCAATCAATGATCCAAGTGGGTCCTACTTAGGTAGTTTCGCCCTAAATCACCATCCAAATGGGTTGTTCCCTGAAGCAAGCAAGAAGCGGACTCCAACAAGCGTCCCTCATTTTCCTTTTTCGGTAGTTTCAACCATCACCTTTTTGGCCCATAGGTGAATATAGGTGAGTTTCCCTTATCAAGGGTGATGTTTTGAGGGGAAATGTAGGGAGCCCTGTCCGAATCATCTCCGATTCGCCGGCGCTTTCCTTTGGATCCATGTTGCCCAGTGGATTCCGCCCTTTTTCCTTTTTCTGGGGTAAGGGTTCCCCTTCAAACTCACCCAACCAAGAAAAGGGTGCCGTTTTTTTTCTCCAATGGCCACTGGGCATCTGAGCATAGCCCCTGCTTTTTACGTGGTGCGTCCGTGCCCGTCCGTTCGGTGTGTGAGGCAAGGCCCCGATGACCTCTGGATGGCGCGGTACATCCTCCAGCGCTTGTGCGAGGATCTTTTTGGCAAAGTTACGATGCCCCAAGGAAATTGCCTAGGTCCCCCAGCCAGGTGCCCTTTCTCACCGTTTCTTTTTTGGAGGAGGGTTCCAAACTACTAAAACAAACTACAGAAAAAAGTTGGTACCCTTATTCTAACCTCTCTACTGGAGGACCTAGTTGCAAGTACACCAACCCGACTCAACCAAACCATTCCCTACTTGGCAAGTATTCAAGGCATCCACCGCAACTTGGGTGAGCGCTGAATGGGCCCGCTTTGTTTGGGTTCGAGCAAAGCACCAGTGCTTCCAGGTGACCCACTGAATGGGTTCTAACAGATTCCAGTCGCCAGCCACTATATGTGCCAGGGGAACCGTCCATGGTAAGGCCTGCTCAGGAGCCCTGGTTACCTACTGCAGTGGTAACTCTTCCATTTGGGTAAGAATATGTTTATTTTACCCTGTTGGTTTTAAAGGGAATCTATCACTACTGGACATATTTTTTCCAGGGGACTTAAGCAAATGGAGGAACTGGAAGCACTCGGACGGGGTTCCAGGCTGCTACCCTAATTGTTCTTGCAAGCTGAACAAGCACGCATTAGGGCACACTCCTGTAGATTTGAATGGAGCCTGAACAAATGAACGGCCATAGGGAGCGCGTACGGATGAGCTGCACCTTGTGATCAAATTCATTGCTTGTGTTTTTGTTGATGACCGAGACACCCCCAAAATGTCCCATGTTTAACATCTTGGTGGCTCCCGAAGGCCATCCGGTTCAACTTAGCTTTTTAGCCTGCTAGTGTTTAGTGGTAGAGTCCATTTTATGCACTAAAAGTTAAACTTTTAGTGGGGAATCTGAGGGCAGCCCAGGTTTCTTTGTCCGGCGTTTGTTTACCCAGTTGTATCTAAAGCGAATGGACCTGGTTCGCTTTGTCTTGGTGTGGCCTATGTTCAATAAACACGTGTTTGTTTCTTTGGACATGCGTTACCTTATGACCCCGTCCTTTCACGGAAAGAATCAAGCATACCAGCATTGAGGCTACCCCTCTATTGGTGGTTTTAAAGCGACACCAGCAGGAAAACCCGACCCACAAAAAGATACACCTGTTTGAGTGTGAAATGAGCAGTTCAACGATTTGCCGGGCATTTTCCCTCCGGTGAGTCACTGAAGACGCTCCAGCTAGCTTGGGCACCTCTTCTCAGAGCTTGTTTTAGCCAGTCCACTCATTTTGGGTGCATTATAACGACCTCACATGACGGAATTCACCCCAAATGGTGGTTTATGTGGGGAATAGCTTTCCAACCACCGCAAGTTTCAGGCTGGTGAAACCTTATACTTCACCCAGACTCATGCGAGTCTATGTGCCGTCAGGTACTATTCTGGTAAGGCGAACCGTACCAGGAGATATGAAGCCCTGGATACCTACTATAGTGGGAACTTGAACAGGGCTCCTTAAAGGATACATTTTGCCCATTTGAAACATGGCTTTTTCTGTTCAGGTGTATAATGTAAGGATCCCTGTTGAAGCACTGGGCATGGGGATGAATAAGACGAGCAGTCAACGACCATTGGACAAATATCCTTTGAGTTTGTGCATATGGGGGGGGGGGCGTCTTGTTGTAGGGGACCCCCCTTGCCTGAAGAAAGGAAACAAATGTGATTGTCCTGCTGGTTTCCCGTAATACGAAAAAAGGGGTCACCTCACACGTTGAAAGTTGGACGTATACGCTGTCCCTTGGAAACTGGGGCGGATTTTCTACCGTAAGGGGCGACCAAAAAGAGGCTAAAGACAATCCACCATACAAGGATGGGTGGCTCGTCTTTTTTTGAGGTGACCTCTTCTTGGTGTGGCTTTGAGGGGGGAAGCAAAGGAACGCCAGCATGTGAGGCTTTGAGGGTCCCCAATTTCGAGACAACCCGTCCAGGAGTACCACGTGGGCGTGACCTTCGATCCCAAGCCAGTACCAAAGCAAGCGGGGATCGGATGTGGGCGTCTCAGAGAGAGACGGGGGCGGGGGAGGTGAGTGACGACAGGACTTCCCAAGGTCTCGCACTTACATGGCGGTGGGTCAAAACCAATGGTATCCCATTTTGGGGTAGGTGCACCACCCATTTTTAGTCTATTATAGTTGGGATTGGGATGTTCACTGGGGGTACGGGATTTGGACCCACGGCCACGTTGGGTGCAAGATGGCGCATGATGGCACCATGCTTGTCTATGTTGGGTGTGTCTGTTTTTAGGAGGCCGCCAAAATGGTGGTGTTCCCTTGCCCAAGTCTATCCTTCTACTTTCAGCTTAGCAGGATCTCCAACTCGGATGTGTCATTCCGCGGTCCAAAGCAGGCATCAGTTCTTCAATCGGCACGTTGCTACCATTGGACCGAGCCCCGCCCCGGCTGAGCCGCGGAGAGGGGAGAACTCAAGGCCATACCAACTACTCCAACATGGCCACACGGACAGCGCCAGGAGCCGGGATCTTCATGTCGCAAGCCTGGGATATCCCAAAACAACATGAAGTCTATTTACATCTTATTTACAGTCAGTTATTATTTATTTATATCTTATTATCTTATGCTTATTAATCTATTATCTATTATTTATTTATATCTTCATCTTTTTCATATTGTTTCTGTTCTGTTATGTGCATTATTTACATAATATTCATATTAATTCTGATGCTTGGGGATGACATTGGTATACGTGCACACAGAGTCGCATGCATGGGTTTTGCTGCGTATAGATGTGTTTTTGTGTATCCAAGACTTCGCATTTTTGCTTATACCAGCTTGGCGGCTCCCATCGACGAGACACTGGTTGTATGTGTGTTGTGGTCGAGTGAGGGCTGGCGAAGGTTGAGAGACCTGCACTCCGACTTGTTTGGTTGCATGTCAGGATTGGGAAAACTATGGGAAAACCAGGGAAACCGTGGGAAAACTATGGGAAAACTATGGGAAAACTATGGGAAAACTATGGGAAAACTATGGGAAAACCAGGAAAACCATGAAAAACTATGGGAAAACCAGGGAAACCATGGGAACACTCTAGGAAAACCAGGAAAACCATGCGAAACTATGGGAAAACCAGGGAAACCATGGGAAAACTATGGGAAAACCAGGAAAACCATGCAAAACCATGGGAAAACCAAGGAAAACATGTGAAAACTATGGGAAAAACCAGGCAAACCATGGGAAAACTATGGGAAAACCAGGGAAACCATGGGAAACTATAGGAAAACTATGGGAAAACCAGGAAAACCATAGGAACACTATGGGAAAACCAGGGAAACCATGGCAAAACCAAAACCATGGGAAAACTATGGCAAAACTATGGGAAAACTGTGGGAAAACTATGGGAAAACTATGGGAAAACCAGGAAAACCAGGAAAACCATGGGACAACTATGGGACAACTAGGGAAACCGTGGAAACTATGGGAACACCATAGGACGCCAAAATGATCCCAGCTACGTTGAGTTTGAGGGGACCGCTGATCAGACCCGGCTAGATAGGGGGGGTATCCCTGGATAAGCCGTGGAGCCAGGAAAAGATAGATCTGAAGGCCGTATTCGGGTGGGAATCGCTTGGTGGCTCCCGAAGGCCATCCGGTGCAACTTAGCCTTTTGCTTGTTTTCAGTTGGTTTAGTGATAGTACCGCTAAAAGTTAAACTTTTTAACTTTTAGCGGGGGATCTGAGGGCAGCCCAGATACGGGATAGCCCCACAACCCTTTTAAAGGGATCCACGATAGACGTTTGTTTTACACACGGGTTCCGAACTCCACACGCCAAGTCCCAAAAGAAACCCAGTTTGTTAGAACCCATTCAATGGGTCACTCAAATGCCATTTTTCTGAGACAAGTTGAGTTACACCCCGGAACTACACCATGCTTCCGGATGATTTTGATCTATGTTAGAATCTATTTTGTAGCTCTCGACCACAAGCAAATGATTTGCTGATATTCGGTACTTCAGACTGAAGCATACCATTCGAAGCGTACGAAGGGGGGGTTGACGATCCATGCAACATGGTAACAACATGCTTTTGCTGCAGACTGCAGAGTTCACTTCCGTGCTAGGCTGCAAACAGTAAATCTTATTGATTTCCGAGGGAGGATGATATTCCTGGAGTTTCGCACTACTCCTGAAACAACCACAGGCCCTTGCATCTGTAGTGACAGATTCAGGCCACATGAAATTCACCTTTTGGTTTGGAATGGCTCTGGTGGGGTGAGTCATGAGTCATGACCTGTTCTCTCTTTGCACCCAGAAGGGACATCCAAAACCAACACGTGCCTCGAGCAATCGGAGGTGATGCCAACACGCAATGACCGAACTTGGCCAAACAGGAGGCATGGAAGCCATCAAGACGCAGTGCGAGCGGCTGCGCAGCGCGCACGCCGCGCGCTTAGGCAAGCAGGCTGAATGCAATAGTACACCACGCCCTCCCGTTGTAGCTTGTCAAGTATGTTTTGCTTGGCTTGTTTGGCTCCGTGTTTTTTGGCTGAGTGGCCAGTCTGGTGCCAGTGGGAAAAAAGCCAACGTGGTGTTTGCCAACGTACCAGGGGTTGACAGGCGTATGCTTGCTTGCTAGGCCAATGCAAATCCATGTGAAAATCAGGTGTACCTGCGCTTACCTCGAATTCCTTCAATTTGCGTAAGTATATGTGTTATTCTCCCTCTATTTCACTACTTGAAATTTCTTTGTTCTGCCAGGGGCCGTCAGCAAATGTCAGAATTCCTATCTGAGGACAAGCACATTTCGAACTACGGGATCGGGAACGAGCGCCGGCTGACGGGCAAAGACGACACGGCGGCTATGAGTGATTTCTCTTGGGGCGCCTCAGCGAGTCGGAGAGTGTAGGCAGTGAGGGCCCTGTCCTGGGAATGAGGAATCTATAAGCTTGGTGGCTCCCGAAGGCCATCCGGTTCAACTTAGCTTTTTGGTTGTTTTTGGCTGGTTTAGTGGTATTTTCCATTTAACCCACTATATAAACGTTATTGACTTTTAGGAGGGGATCAGAGGGCAGCCCAGGAAGGCCGAGTGTTTTTCTCCTTGTTGGGTTGGACCCTCCCCATTGGTGGTGTTCCTTTGAAACCAGCAAAGAACGGGTCCCATCACAAAAAGATACACCAAAAGAACTACCTGGACCCTCCAAAGTTCCAATCAAAAACCGCGAGTTGCCCCGAAGTTTTGGACTGCATTCCCATTTTTGGGTAGTTTGAGGGTCCAGATCCAGGTATAAAGAGACCGGTTTCAAGGAGTGGCGACACGGAGGTCCCCTTGAAAACGCAAATGCTTCTTGGTGTTCCCGTAGGAAATGCTGCCATCTAAGCCAGCTTGATTTTCGCAAAAGCAGTGTGCCCCCGAGTCGGCGCAAAGGTATTGGAGATCGCGCCGCCAGCATACGCATTGGCTGCAAAGTAGCCCGTGCCTGAGCGGTGTCACGGGAGAGTGGTGTTACCCCAAATCTCCTTTGTCAAAATAGCGGGATCGCAAAACAGTGGCGCTCTGGTTACTGGTTTCCCTCCAAACCAACCTGAAACATGGCACGCTTCAAACCAACACCCACACACACACACACACACACACACGTATGGCCACCCTCCCTAGGGTTCAACCTCCATTGAAAGAATGGCTCACCCAATTTGGCGGACGGAACACTAATGGTGGCTATATTTAACCCAACCATTGTTCTAAAGGTGGTAACAACACCAGGACGCTGAAAGTGGCTGGTGGATGTCCACGCCATGCCGCAAATATCTTCGAGGCAAGTGCTTGGCGCGAGCAGATCTTTACCCTCCGGTACGAGCGACTTCACCCATGTTCCCCGCTACTTGGAGACTTGTTTAATGGCTTGTGACTTATGTAAATTGAGATGCTTTCCGTGAAAACGAGCCGCCCTTCAGCGCTGTTCGCGGCTTCCAAGCTGGCTGCCTTGTGTGAAGCCTTGCCCAGCCCTTCGTGGAATTGTGCTGCACGCTTGCTTTCCGGCCATGATAAGTGTATAAGCCAATGCCAATTTGTCCAATCAGGTGGAATACTTTTACATGAGGCAGGGCACGTATGCCAAGAGGGGGCACGACCCATTGCCTCTTCTATTTCTCAGACCCCCAGCGGTGCTGCCGTTTCTGATAACTTGTTTGCAGAGGTTGCCCTGTACTGCCCAACCCAACGAAGGGGTCCAAGAGGAGTTTCCTCTGTGACGTTTCTTGTTTATCCAGGAGAGGACCCTCCCTTCCGAACGTACCCCTAATACCTGGAACACTGGCCCTCTTTGCAAGAGCCCTGGGAGTGAGGGTATATACAAAATCTGCTCCACGCCTTTTCCGCAAGGCAACATCAACGCTGCTCCTCCTTTCGGTTTCAAACCTCAGTTGTTCAAAGCGAATCGACCTTTCGACCTTGTGGTTTTCCCATGTTGGTGCATTTTTAGTAGAGGTGCCAAAAGGTTCACCTTTTGGTTCTGGGTCCTTTGGGCAAGTGAGTTTCCCTTTAGGGCAGGGTAATCAAACAGGGCACCGAGTCCCAAGTGGTATCCCCCACACCCCGATCGAGCCGATCTCTGGGCCCATGAACCCCATAGCTTAGCAGCCTGGAACTCCGCGGGGCGAAAAATTGGGAAGCACGAGGCCCAGCGCGACTGCGGGTATTATGAGGCAAGCCGGCGGATTTCCCAAGAGAGTGAGAGAGCCAGAGAGAATGCGAGCGCTCAGGGGAAGTCGAAGGATTTGTGCAGGTTGGTTCCAACTGTACGATATGATATATATATATATATATATATGTGTAAGCATATTATGTAAGCCTCTCTCTCTCTATATATATATACATACATATATATATATATGTTATGATATTATGTTATGTTATGGTATACTGTGTTATGTTGTGTTATATTGTGTTATATCGTCTTATATTATGTTATGTTATATGATTATACTGTGTTGTGTTGGGTTGTATTACAGTGTATTGTATTGACTGTTTTGTGTGGGTTTGTATCACATCATGTCATAGTATCTTATATGGTACTATATTATCACAATATTGCACAACAACTATAATCATATTTATATGTAGTATTATGTATATGTTGGGTTGGAACGTCGCCTTTTGGACTCATTCTTTTGTAGAGGCTTGGCTGAGGGGCTCAAGCGAAACCAATCTTGAACGTTCATCTGGGAAGTAGCTTGCCTTTTGTCCACCTTTTGTCATTTTGTTTTTCCATAATTGGGTGTGGGTCAAAATAAAACCACCAGGGACCACACGGCGTTTATTCCATGTTTCCATTTACCACGTTACTTAAATTGGTACCCACAGCTAGTTTGTCCTTTTCACCAAAAGTTACAGGGGAGCCAAGCCTGGAATGGAGTGGTCATTTGGAGACCCAAGCAGCAAGGGTCACAAGGTTTTGCCCCGTTTGGTTTCAATTCAACAGAATGGGAGCAGAGAACTACCGAGGTTTGAAGTTTGAGTCGCGGACCAGATGCTTTCCTGGCGAAGTTTTCTTGGAGCCCCACACCGCTTGTACTTTGAAAGGCTTGGCAGGCGGGAAAAAAAATCCGGCCCAGCCAGGACCGGCGGCCTGCTGCCAACATGGACCCATACCTCGTCTCACAGCTGTTGGCGAGAGCCTAAGATCTACTTGGGTTGTTTTTTGTTTTTTGTTCATGGTATTTGCAACCACCCCCTAGCCACCTACCCCCACCCCCCCCAAGTTTATTTGACATACAACATGAGTTTTGTTTTGGGTCCGGGGCGGCCTCTTCATTTTGGTTTCGGGAAGCTTTTGGGGTCTTCTGTTAAGGGACCCCCGCGAAATGGTTTGTGTTCTCCTTTGGTTTCCCTTAAACAGACCAAACAGGGGTGCCCTAACACCAGAAACCAGCCCACTTGGATGTGTTTTGTTTTTGTTTTTTTGGGGGGGGCTTTTTGGTCAAGCAACACGACACCAAGCATTTTTGGGGGGTTCCCCTGTTTTGACGTGTTCACTTGCGCAACACTGTTCTTGGCATAGCAATAATGAGGAACGAGTGAGTTTGCACGCGGAATCCCTATTGTGGCTAAAGCAGTTCTTGGGAAATCATGAAATGTGTGATAACTGCACCCTTTGGCTCACTTCTTGAGTTCTTGCACTTTATATTCTTTGGGAAGACGATAGTAGTAAAGTTTGGACTTGTTTGGGCCAGTCCACTCGGGAAGTGAGTTGGCTGGGTACGCAAACTTGTTCTTCTCGCCATATGTGTTTAGTTGTTCGCTTGTTGGCGTTGTGTGTTCTGTTCTTGTTTTTCGTCGTTCCCCACTCGACAGGTTTGGGGTTGTTAGGCTTTAAGTGAATCTCCTTATTCCCTGTTTCGGAATAATACTCATTTGCCCCGGGTCGAAGCGCGGCTGGTTTTTGCGTCGAGCCTCAGGTTGAAACGACTCTTCTGCGGAAGGAGAGTCTGAACTAATCCAATTATGACCACCCTTCCAAAGGTTGGGTCTCTGCATTGCCGAGTGCTGGTGCATCCAGCGAGAGTACGCCGCACGTCAAGTCAAGATGGCTGGCGGGTGGCTCATGGGCTCCCAGCTTTAAGAGCTTCGAGTCTGCGTTTGTCTGAAAATTCGGGACCTCTGACCACCAGAAAACCCCGATGTTCGGAGCCTTTTTTGGGTTCACGCCATGTTTGAGGGGACGCAACTTGATCTGCAGTAGATGTTTGCTCGTTTGTGTGACACGGAATCGTTGCCAGGTGCTCGCTTATTTTTTCGCAACCATCAGAGGACAGCAGCATGCAGCCTCGCTGAAAGCGACGCTCATTTTCTGCCATCGAAGCCAGAGAGGTCCGGCTTTAGTTTGATGTGTTTGATGCACAACGACCGACTGAGGAGAAATATGACTATGACATGTGCTTGGGAGCAGTCTGCAAGCATGGCGGCGTTGCCTGTCAGATCGTGTAGCCCCCTACTGGAAATTCTCACTTGCTGTATTGTGTGATTCATGTCGTCAACGCCTGACAAAAAGATGCATTTATGTTGAACAATCTCTCTTGCATCCCAACGAACTATTCGTGGGTAGGGTTCTCTTCTGGTATTTGGGTTCTCCAGGCTCTCCGTGCTTATAATTTATATATATATACTATATATGTATATAACGTAGAGCATGTCGGATCGTCGCAGGATCTTCACTCAGAAGGCTGGCAGAGAAAGCAACAAGAGCAAAGAGAAGCATCAGGCCATCGAAGCCGGGAGAAAATCGTTTGCCAGTCGGGTGCGGCAAATCTGGAGCCATGATCGGAGGAGGCTCGGGCTATGCGGGCTGTCGCAGGAAGCTAGGGACACCCACAAATTGTTTTTCCTTTTTGGTGCCCCTTGAAGCCATCGCAAAGGAAATCCTCAAACCAAGATGAGTATGTAGTACGGTGGATGCCGATTCCTGGCATAGGGCAAGTGAACCAGCTTTGCAAAAGCACGGAGAAACCAATAGACATACTTAACTGCAGAACAAAGGCAAAGTAGTGCCCATGGGCAGGGCAACCAGTGGATGTGTCATCTCACCAGCTGCAATGGATGTCAGTTACCTTTCTGATTGAGGTGCACGCTTGTAGTGCTGCTCGTGCTGGGGACGGCAATGCTCTCCCTGCCAAATGTCTAGGTTAGTCGGCGGATGTGTCATAGTTTTTCAACCAACAAACAAGATGTTCACCCGGGTGAAAGTGGATGGCACGATCCCCTATGTGGGCGAGTAGAGGGGATGACCAAACCAACATGATAAATGTGCGCCATGTACTTGCACCCAGGTTTACGCTCATTGAGGCTAAGATGAAAGTGCATGAACAAAGCAACAGGAGCAAGTGCCTGCCCGTGTTGTGCATCATTTAGAAGCAAGAGCCATGCAGTTAAACACATTTAGGTATTAAGAAACAAAATAGGATTAAAAAAGAACAACAAACACACATACACACACAAAAAAGAAGAAAAAACATGGAAGCTGCGCCGTCGCAGAATGTTTATTTCAGAGAAACTGGTGACCCTTTGAGCCCGAAGCTTCCTTCATTCAAGTGCTGGCTGCGATTCGATTGAAATGCCGCCCACCATAGGAAGGAGAAGCAATCGTCATGTCGTCATGATGGGGATTTGTATATTGTTTATGATGGTTTTGGGTTTTGGAGTAAACCTCGAAAGTATCTTAGACGTTAGCAAAGGGCCATAGTTTTAATCTCCATGTTTGCGGTTGGTTCAGGGCGTGTTTTTTATTATTAATATTATTATTATTGTTTTAATCAGGGGCCCAAAGACTCATGGACATACTGTGGATGGACGACATGCATTTCGCACCACCGATCAGAAACCCCGGTTCTGTTGATTCCCCCGCAACTACCAACGAACATTATGGTGTCAACCATGGTTGCTTAGGTGGTGCCGAGGATTTCACAACCATCCGCAGTATGCCCTTGGAAGTCACCGGGCTGCCGCACTGCTGGCAGGCAACCCCGTGATGCAGCTGGTGCCCCTCGCGATGCCGGCGCACCTTGCGTTGCCAAAGGAGTCCCCGATGCCGAAACAGACCGTTACGTTTTTTTAAAGACCAGCCCAAAGGGGGGGGGATTTTTTTTCCCACCATTTTCTCACATTTTTCAAAGACTTCTCGAGTTCCTGGACTTGGAACTTTTTGGGAAGACCATGTTAGTGGTAAATAATCAAGTTCGGTCTTTTAGGGGGGGCATTCACTCGGGAAGTGAGTTCTTGAGGATCCCTCCGAAATCTGAAATCCATTTTCTCTGTGCCAGGGGGTAGCGGCGACCTCAGAATGCAATCGGAAAAAAGGGGCTCTGGGGATGGGAGGAGTCTGGAACCAAAGGGACAAGGATCCAAAATTAGGGAACCTTCAGGGTGGTTCTCCCTAAAACTGCTTTACTAAAGACAACCAAGAAGCAGGTACCCTCAAAAAACTCCCTCACAAAGTCTACCGAAAGGCAACCAAGAATCAGGTACCCTCAAAAAAGATATGCCTGACATACCTTGCACACCTGGGCAAACGCACAAGTGATGCTGTCATGGGGCTGCGACGGCAGCTAAGTAATTAAAGGATTTCCTTGCTTGGGGGGTTACTTTTAGTTGGTTTTATGTTGACTTTGAATGAATCCGGAGGATCTTACTGGTCAGAGGGACCCACTAAGATAGCCCTGAAACATGAGTGTTCCATGATTGTTACGTCACCAAGTCCATTCTAGTTTTGCACGGCCCTTACAGCACTTCAAAGACCATAGCCACGGTCAATGTTTCTTCTGCCCCCGGGTTTCTGGTGGAAATACAAGGTGAATGTGCCCGTGCCCCCCTTACCCTACAAGACTGATATATCGCCAATTCAGCATGGCTCCATGCGAAATCGGCTTTGAGCACCCGACCGGAAAGCGGTCCTTGCAGTTTAATCAACAGCTTTGTGCCCCCCAGCCCGCCCCTGCCTCCCACACACCTAAACCCCTCCCAACCCCCCCCCCCCCCGTGTCGCCTTAAAACGGGTACGACCCGTTTGCGAAGGGGCGCCTGGTTTTTGTTCAGCAGACTTTCCTGGAGTTGAGCCTTCCTGGAAGGCGACGAACACCATGTTTTGCACTGGCTTGGTGTCCCTCTCACTGTGTTTTTTGGTTCTTCCCTCTAGTTGTAAAGTTTCCCCTGCCCAGCAGACACCTGTATCCTTGTCCTGGTGGGGGCCAGGTTTGCACCCGATTCTTGGGGCTTATCAAGTCAAGCACTGGAAGCGGTGGTTTCCCCTTGGCTCACCTGAAGGCGTGTTTCGGGCGGGGATGGCGCCACTCGCCAAATTGGAACAACGTGAGGTGACCTCGTGCGGGGATCATGGGGACTGAGGTTTTGCTGCTGCAGCAGTTTGACATTGAACAGATGGGGTGCCCCTGGCGAAGGTTTCATGTCACCCCCCTCGCCTCCAACCAAGCCTGCAGCCCAGCCAGCCCTTTAGGCACGTGCCTTCATTTTCAGGGTCGAAAAAAGCAAGCCCTGATCTTAAGTCGAACGGCCGAAGTGCAAACTAGGTCTTTGTTCCCCATGATCTTCAGTGCAGGTCTTGCCCATGCACTTGTGAAACAACTGAAATTAGCAGGTGACTAAAGCATATGGACACCTTGCAGCCCCAAGGACATGTGCGGACTCTAATTCCCAAGACGCCAAGATCAATAAATATATGCTCAAATAGCAGGCATACGATGCCACAAAAGGGCTGGTTGAGGCCTAGACAACCACAACCAGGTCCCTGACTACGATGCATCCTCATGCCAGACGGGTGGTGAAACCCATCTTTCACCCGGTTCTACCCACCCAGCCTACTGCGGGTGGATGAAATCCTGCACCACCTAAGAAACCCTGATTTCTAATGATTCTCCTGGAAAAGCCAACAAACGTTCTGGTGTCAATCATGGTTTCATTTCGATTTGCGGGGCACGGATTTCGATTTCAACCATCAGTACGCCGGCTGTGTTTTTGTTGGGCTCCTTTTTGGGGCTGGTTTCCAGGGGGGTTCTGCCTCGTTAGTTCGGAAACCTCTTCATTTCCGGCACAAGTTGCGCACAAGTTGCAAACTGAGGGCTTGAGAAACGAAATACCTGAAGCAACCGGCTGCTCCTGGTGTGTCAGTGTGTTTGTTTCAAGGATTTGATTTCATAGTAAAGGAAGCCCGCAGGCAAGCCACCAGTTAGGGTCATGACTTTGAACTGGCAATCGGAATCAGGGTGCTATATGCTTGCTCTTGCACCAGACTTTGAAGTGCACAAGCCCTTTTAAAAGGCTGTCCTCTTACAGAGAGAAAACACTCGGCACTTTTGTATTGGTCGGGTAAACGGTGTTAAGCAAATTCCAAAAAGACCACCGTTGCATGTTCCATGTAAACACTAGGCTGTTTTTGTCCTTGGGCCTTTTAAGAGAACGGCAAGGTCGCCGGGCGTCACGGTCTTGCACAGGTACGTCATGCATTTGCGCGTCGTCTTTGGAATCGTTCAGCTCTGCTGCTGGAGCCTTGGCACACGCGAAGTGGCGACCCTCTGGGGAGGCGATAGCAGGAGGACAGTATTGGAAGGAATTTGTGTACTTCCAGGAATGGTTGTGAGAGAGTATGGGTTTTGACCACATGTGTTGGGTGGTATTTTTTGAGGGGCTCTCAGGGAGACCACTGGCAAGCTGCACATGTTTGGCAGGTTCTTGGATTTGGAGAACACCAATCTTGGACCCCTTATTCATTATAACATGATGATGGCAAGCACAAGATGGCTCAGTATAATGAATGTGACCGCTTCCGGACAAGCCAAACTTGGGGCAATTTCCCAAGTTTGTTTGTAAGAAGCTCCGCTCAGAAACCAAGTCCATGGATTTGTCCGAAGCAATCCTTTTTTGACCCGACTTTCCAAGAACTCAGCCACAGAAATTTCTAACCAGGAAATCTTAGTCTTTAGTGGGTGATAGCGGGTGTTTCAAATTTCAATTTCCTATAACACACATCCTGTAGCTGATTTCTATGTCTCAGTGCTTCCAGTTACCACAATAGTTGCTAATCAGAGGAAACCTTCATTCAACAACCCAGAGGTAAACATACCGAACACCTACCTATATTTTGACGAAACGCCGAAAAGAAGCACTGACCCCTTTTTTTGGTTGCCTTGGCACCCCTTGTTTTGTGGGTCAGGTGCTGGGCCCCCCGCGCCCGCCCCCCCCCCCCCCCACCCCACCCTCCCACCCCCGCACCCCCCCCCCCCACCGCCCCCACCCCCGCCCCGCACCCCCGCACCCCCGCCCCCCACCGCCCCCATCCCCACCCCCCCCCCCGCCCCAAGCCCCTCATCCCTCGGATGTTCGAGGCCTGGGCATGCTGATGCGCGCGCGGGCCTCAAAATTCTCGCCGGTTTTGAGGCTGAGGCTGGCCTTCTTCTTGTCATTTAACTGAAAACCGCAAACAAGTTGTACCCTCAAAAAACGACACACCCATATGGGCTTGAAGTCAGTTTCCTTTTGGTCGACATGTAAACCAATCCCAAAAGGGTACCCTCAAACCCAAGACGCACACAGACACATGGGTTTGCGTCAGCTTCTGGGGAGGAACAAATAAGCAGGAAAAGGCTATCCGTTTTTACTAGAACGAGGACGCGGCGCGCCCACTGACAGCAAAAAGATGCCCGTATTCTGAACTGGGAGACAAAACCACAATCAATGATTTGTGTTCCAAAATAGTGCAAGCAAGCATTGGCCCCTCTAGCAAGTCAAGATTAATCCAGCGACACCATAGTCAGCAATTAGCCCATATGTCTTTTGGCGAAAGCTGGCAACTGTCTTCGGAAAGACTTCTGTGCAGATTGACAGAAGGAACCCAAAAAGGGGTTTGTTCGCTTTGCTGGCGCGAAACAGCCGACCATCTCTCCCAGATCCCCCAAACCAAGCTGAGGAGAAGGCCTGGGTTCTGGCTGTGGAAAGCTGTGGGGGGGGGGAGGGGGGCTTTAGGGCCATTCATTAAAAGAATGGTTGAGCCAATTTGAATGATGAACATCCTGAAATAAACAACGGTGGTTTTATATATTAACCGAACCCCAGGTTGTCCTTTTCAGCCTATGAGTTGTTTTTACGGCATCGTCTCTGGACAAAAGTTCCCCATGAATCCCCAGCAAAATCCCAACGCTTCCGGTCCCCAATCAAAATTCACACGGGTGCATCTTAAATTCGGGGGCCCGCCCCCATTTGGTTCCCCTTTAAGCGGACCCCAACGGGGGGGATACTCCAACTTGACCGTTCTTGGCACGCTTTTTGCTTTGTTCTGTTGTTTTTTTTTTCACTGGGGGGCTGCAAACAAACAGGTCTATAGCCTAACCAAGAGTTGTAGAGCCAACACAGATCAGCTGAAGCCAGATCAGCTGGGTGTGGGTGCGAGCCAAGAAAAAAAACACAAAAACACCCAGCTGATCTCGGCTCGAACGCTCGCCGAGATCCGTGTGAAGATCCTGGCCATGGAAGACGGGGCCAAGCTCCAGGCGCTGGAAGTCGTGCGAAGTTTCGACGTAGGTTTGTCCTTGGGAGGATCTGCGGTTGGTTATTTGTTTCTTTTTATGGCTATGGGTGTTTTTTTTTTTTTGTGTGTGTGTGTGTGTTGTTTGTGTTTTCCCCAGCAGCTGAAAGCCATGAGGTCGATAGGCCCAGATAGGCTCCATCGGGGTGACTTGGGGCAGCTGTCAGGAAGGGTTGCGGTTGCGGAAGGTTCCAGGGGTTGTGGGGCTGTTGCGGATGTTACGTGTTTTGTTGTTTGTTTTTGTTTTGTTTTTGTTTTTTTTTGGGGGGGGGCAAGGCGTATTGCGAATCATATGCTCAATAGCTCGATTTCTGATTGAGGCTGTCTTTGTTCTTTCGGGATACACATGGATGAACGGTTAACCCCTGTGAAGGTAAGGGTCCCGAGGCAGTGGAGTTTTTTCGGCAAAACCATAGCCTGGCTGTTGAGAGTACCCCTTTTTCGGGGCTTGAAGAAGTCATTTTTTTAGCAAGCGGCAAACATGGGTGATTTTCCCAGAAGACCATCAGTAAATGGAGGGGTTGACAAATTCGGATTTGTCAGGGGGCACAATGAATACCAAGGCTCGAGTGGAGGTAAGGCTTCAGCTGGGATCCATTGGGGGCCTCAAATGGGTGTGTTTATAGCCTTTCTGGACCCAACTTGTCAGGATCAGCGGGAAATCGAAGCTACTTTTGTTGGTCCCCTATTTGCTCACACACACCCAAGTTTCACTCTTCGGGCCTTTCATGGTGTCAACGGCCGGGCGAGTCAAGTTGTTGCGTCGCGGTGTCGACGGACAGGTGCCTGCCCAAGTACAGTTCGGGGTAGAAGTCAAGCTGGTCCCTCAGGTCGCCGAGTCCTCTCGTTCAAGGGGCGCCGAAGAAGGAGTCTTCAACCATGTATCGCCCCCTTTTTCCAAAATCTTTTGGATTGTGTCTTCTTTTTTGGAGGGTACCCGTTTTGGGTTGGTTTGCAGGGAAACCAACAGGACAACATCAATATTGCAGGTTGTCCTATTTTGAGATCATGCCTTCTACATGATCAACCAGAAACCAGAATGCTTCCAGCTTTTCTTTTACTGGGAAGTGCTGAGCAAGTCGCAAGCCGATCTTCCACATTGGCTTTTGGTTTTCCGGCTTTGTACAGGTCGAAATCGGATCGGAGCAGCTCGAGGAAGCGAATCATTGGGATTCAAACCCGAAGTATAGGAGTTCCCAGAAAAGAAACCAGTCGCCCGACAATAAGGAACCGATTGTCAAGTGGGAACCGGTTCCCCAGGCTGAAAGGGAACCGGCCTGGATCGAGGTCACATTCGCTTTGAAAGTCGCCCAATGGAATTGGCGAGTTCTTTTGACCAGACCCCGGAACCCGCTCCTGCGCAGTCAGGATAGATGTTACAGTCTGGTGACGACTCTATCAAGCAACCAATTGAGTAAAGTTGACCCAGGATTAAGAATTTCCTGCTAATTAATATGGGGTTGGCCCCCTTCAGAAGGTGATGAATCTCCACTAAAAACCAGAATCGGACACACTCCCGTTTCAATTAACAGGGGTGTATTTATCCTGGCCCTGGGATGAAAACCACAATTGAAAGTGAAACAATGGGGGCTCATGTTTCACCACCATTGTTTGCCCTTCAGGAGTGTCATCATCCAAATTGGGGCCCGTTGGGCCGGGGCCGTTTGGAACCCTAGGGCTGGGTCAACATTATGCATTTTGCAGGGTCCAACTTCCATCACGTCCCAATCTGGACAGCCACACGGCTTGAGGGCTACTTCCTGCGCGATACAGTGAGATGCTCTCTCGTGAAAGAAATGACTGTGGGTCAAATGGGCTAAAGCGTTAACCGTAGGTGGTCGCTTGTCTTGACTCTTAATAAGTATCCACTTGGGCCACCATTTTGGCTCAAGTGGACCTTTTGATCTTTTGTCTTGTGATTTGAAATCTTTCTTTCCCCTACTCTCAAAGCCATGTACGCCCCCGCCTACGCTGGTGCCGCGGTAGCAGAGGCCAAGGCTAAGGCAAAGGCCTCCATGGCAAAGTACCTGGCGAGCCTCGTGAAGAGGGAGGAAGAAGGATGGACCGTTTTGGCTGCTGAGGTCCCTCAGGCACCTGACGAGCGTTTCTTCTCCAGCGCAGATGAGCTGGAGCAGGCCCCCCTTATCCCGGCCAAGCGCAAGGCAGAGGATGAGCCGATGGAAGATGCAGCCCCTGGGGTGGCGCAGGTGCCGAAGGCCCTGACACGCCCCCCAGGGGCGTTCCTGGAGCTCCTGAACCCGCCGGAGGAGGACGTGCCCATGGAGGAGCTCCTGGCGAAGGACGAGAAGGAGCTGCCGATGCCCAGGTCCCCCTCGGCTGCAGCCCGCTTGGAGGAGGCCCGCCTGGATGCCCGGGCAGACGCCAAGTGGCAGAGGCGCCGGGAGCTGATGGCGAAGGTCAAGGAGCAGGCGTCCTCGGAGGAGGATGAGAACCCCGCAGCCCCCCCGCCGGGGGGGAGCGTGTTCACCAAGGCCCTCAAGGTCTCGGAGGGCCTCTACCAGTTCAGCGACGACCAGATGGCGGGCGACTTCCCTTGCTTCGATGCGACCACGGCCACTAGGCTCCGCCGACTGCAGGCCAAGGACGTCCAGCGGCTCCTGCGAGGCTTTGAGGGCCCCCAACTCAAGCAGGGGGGCCTGGAGCGCGTTGTGGAGGCCTTCTACATCGCCAAGATGAAGTACGAGCATGAGGCCCGGCTCAGCACCCCGGGACAGCAGGTTGGCAAGCGCGCTGGCTTGGGGTACGGGGGCCTGGAGAACCGCCCCCTGGGCAAGGTGCCCACATCCTGGATCTGCCCCTGCTGCACCATGCCCTGGGTGAAGAAGGGCGCCACGAAGTGCATGGGGTGCGGCAAGAAGACGGAGCCCATTGACACGGCGACCAACTCGGCCACCCTGGAGATGGCGGGCACGCATTGGCAGTTGACGGTGGATGACCAGGGCAATGCGGTCTGGACGGCGGCCCGGTCCGCGGGTGCCGAAGGCCCTGACACGGACCGGGCCCGCGACCTCAAGCTCAGTGCCTCGGTGGACGTCAGCGAGCTGGCCACCGACCCGATGGCCTGCGAGAACCCGGACCAGGCCAGCTTCTCGGACTTCGTCCCCTCCTCGGTCCGGGCGGTGATCAGGAACTGCCCCATGGAGCTGGACGAGGAGTTTCTGACGGCCCCACCGGGGGAGAGGCCCCCATTGCCAGGCGACAAGGAAGAGGGCCAGGAATGCAGAGCCTTCCACCCGTCTGCGGTGAAGGCCTTCAAGATTCAGACCCGGCTCAACGCCACCACCATCGCCCAGGAGGAGGCCAAGAAGGCGGACCAGGTGGAAGCGGTGGAGCGCTCCGCGGCGGTCCTCCACGAACTTCAAGGGGGGGCCATTGACGGAGGAGGTGATGGAGGCCTGCTCCTGAAGAACCTGGACTTGGACCTCTTCCGTGAGAAGCTGCTGGACAAGCTGGGTGCGGACTGGGGGAGACCCACACCGGAGCTCCTCCAGGCCCAGACCACTGCGGAGGAGGCGAAAGCGAAACACCAAGCCAGACAGGCGAAGGGCTCCCTCGAAACCAGAATGCTCGAGCCCATCGCGCCTCCCTTCAGTGCGTGGCCTAGTGAGGTCCGGGTCGCCATTGAGACTGGGGTCTTCGAGCCGACAACGGCATGGAGGGACTTCAGTATGGACGACCTCACATCCCTCACACACTCCTACCTTGAGGCCAAGGCGGTCATCTCGCTGGGTAGGAATCCCATTCCCGGCGGCCCTCCTGTCAGATCTGCCGGACCTGACAGGGATCCCCATGCCAAAGGCGGGGGGCTCTGGTGCGGCGCGCCGGTGCCGAGGGCCCTGACAGGCCGCCCACCACCCCCCCAGCCTCGGGCTCTGGCGTGACGAGCTCAGGTGCCGAGGGCCCTGACAAGCCGTCCGCCACCCCGGTGGGCCTGGACACCAAGGACCCGGAGGTGCAGCTCTCGGTCCTGCGCTGGATGATGAGCAAACGGGTCGGAGAGGTCCGTATCTTTGCGGGCCGCTGGGTCCGACGACCGGGCCCGGTACACGTCCCGGATTGGGCGAAAAACCTCACCAAGGTGAATCCGGAGGCGTTGGAGAAGGGTACGCATCCCAGGAACCACCAGGTGGGTGGACTCCCCTGGGCCAGGTACTCCGTTGATGAGTTGAACCAGCAGGCGAAGGCGGGGGACCGACCCTACCCTGGGGACCTGCGATCCATCTTTTGGGCTGCCCCCCACGATCCGGATGAGGACTTCCACTGGACGCGCCAGATCTCGTCCTGGACACTCCCAGGCCTACTGGGGATGTTCGGGCACAGCTACACCCTGCGCCAGCTCTGGGGAGTCTGGGAGTCTCTGCCACTGCTGCAGGGCCCTAGGCAGCGGGGCCCGAAAAACAAGGCCCAGAATCAGACCCGCCTGGAGGGCTGGGAGACCCTGAAGGAGGACGCGCGGTGCTTCCTGAAGGAGGAGGGCCTTCCGTTTCCGCAGACAGGACCGGAGTGGCGATTGGTCTACCGGGCCATGGGCAAGGTCCTCGCGGCCCGGGCCTTCCTCACGGACACCCCGGCGGAGGTGATGCAGCTCCCGGTCCAGGACGTGGCGGACTCCAAGGAGCAGATGATCCTGCGGGCGGTATGCGACGAGCGCATCTCGGTCCCGGTGGAGAGCCTCCAGCAGTTCCCAGAACTGTACAAGGCCCTCATGGACCGCATTGGAGGCCCGGGGGCCCTGGCGGAGGTGAAGGTCAACTGGCGCTGCAACACGAAGCAGTGGTGGGTCGGCGCAGCCCCGACTCAGTGGCCCCCTCCATCTACCGCAAGCTCGGCTACACCAACGACATGATCAAGCTGATGGGCCTGGACCCCTCCGCCCCTGGGTGCCGGACAGGTGCCGATGGCCCTGACATCCGCCCCAGGGGAGGCGAGGGCGATGAGGGGATCGTTTACCCCCCCATCACGGCGGACAACGTCCACGGCGTGGTGGGTAAGGACTACCGGAAGAAGAACTATCCGGTGGAGATGAAGCATGTCTTCTGGGCGCACATGGAGTGTGGCCTGGTCCTGAGCTCCGTCACCCCGTGGGAACTCATCCCGAAGACAAAAGGGGAGACCCGGGGGGGCTACATGTGCAAGTATTGTAAGGGGTACTGGCGTGCCGGGGGAGGGGGCACCCGCCTCCTCCAGATCCGGGCCGGCAAGGCCATCTTGCAGCTGGTGTTGGACGAGCCGCCGGAGGGCCTCTACAACCGCTGGGTGAAGGAGCGGCTGGAGTACTACCGCCGGGTGGAGCCCTCGGCCCCGTTGCGGGACGTCTCCATCGTGGACCAGAAGGTGCCCAGGTTCAGATTCAGCCAGACCACCCAGACAGGCCACGTCTCCAATGCCATCTGGGAGCTGATTCTGCGGAATCCGGAGGCTGCTGCGCTCAAGCGCATCGATGACATCGCGAAGGGGGCCGCGTGATGATGCGGGACAACGCCATCTTCCGGCACACCATCCAGGACCGCGGCCATCCGGAACGGATGCGCAGCGCACCCCGGGGGGGGGACAGCTGCCGAAGGCGCTGATATCCCCCCCCAGGGAACAGCGCAGGCCCAGACTTGCACCAGGCGAGGAAAATTGGCGCGGCTTGGGCTGATCCGGGGTGCGCCTTGGTTCCCCTCTCTTGTTTGGTTTTCCCTTTTCGGGGCGGCTCCCTGGGTCCCCCTTTTTCCCCCGTTTCCTCCGTTTCGGGGTTGACTTTCCGGGGTTTTGGGGGGCCCCCTGTTGTTTGGTTGGGGTTTGCACCTAGGG